TAGATGTGAACCCTTTGCTGCCTGGGGGAATGAATACTTGGTTAAAACCATAAATGAAGAAATACATGGCAACTTATTCTTTGTTTCTGCTGGATTAGTCCGCTAGTAAATTTCAATGAGAAACGATAATTAATTATTAATTTATTAATTTTGGATATAAAAACAAGAATACCTTTTTCATCTTCCCTCAAACTAAGGTTCCTTATAATATGGATGTTCAGTTAAAATTGCGTCAGCACTTGAAAGCGCTCAAAGATTTTCGTATTGAAAGCATCAAATACAGTTGTTCTTCCATGATTTAGTTGATAAACTGTAAATACGTATATTATTGCGGATCCGGATCCGGCCTGATCCTAAGCACTGACTTTATCAGAAATTATTGAATATTCTGTGATCTAGGATGTCCATGATCCACTACGCAACTGAGTCCATGGCCTATATGGTGTCTGGCACCATGGATAGGTAAATATGTAATAATTTACAATCTGAGCCCGCGATTTAAAAAATTTGGAAAATTACGGCTCGGGTCTAAGCTGTCGTTGCTCCTTATTTACGGCTTGAGCTTTCGGATTCAAGCTGCATGTTAATTTCCACAGATTTGAGTTCAAAAAACGGTTTAATATTCTATTTAGCGGATTTTCATGGTAAGGATTGACGCATTCCGGGATTTTTTTTAAAGAATAATACTCAACATTGGTCATTGAGGCTTATTCTCCACTGAAACCAACCAAGGTCGGTGGGCCTAACTCCTGAAGTCGAGCCGAAGATCTTGCAGCTGTTAATCACGTGATACAAGCTGTCGTCAGAGTTGGGTGAAAGATTGGGTCTTAAAGTCGAGTTTAAGGAATTACGACTCGAGTCGAAGTTTTTAAATCGCGGGCTCAGATTCGATAGATTTAAAGTATATGAAATAAGTAGTTGTGTTGTAATGATTTGTAATTATAATCTTTTCTGGTTTTTAACTTTTAATACATCTACATTGGAAATAAGTTAATTAATATATTATTATTATCATTATTATTACATTTAAAGGACAAAGCAAAAACCGAGAATGAAATATGTAGAATGTAGAGGCTATAGTTATTGCCAGATGGAGGCTGTTATTTCCAAAATATTTGCCTCCAATATCCATTTTTCTGTAACATTTATGTACAGATTAAAAGTTATTTGCCACCGAAATTAACTTGCCTAGAACTTATTAATATGTAGAAATTAGGATGATTACCGTTTGGAGGCTGTTACCTCCGAGATAGTTGCCTCGGATATACTCCTGTTTGTAACATATTTATATGTAGAGGCTATGATGATTACCAGTTGGAGGCCGCTATCTCCAAGATTTTTGCCTCCGAGGCTGCCTGGTATGTGACCGATGAGGGAATCCAGGTAAATTCGGAGGATCCAAAAATTGTTAATTCCTAAAAGCTAAAAAATATAGGTCATCTCTTAAATTGTATTTAGTAAAACATGGATATTAATGAAGCAATATCATATGAATTTAAAATCGCACGTTAAAGAAAACTTTTTAAAAAGCAAAAACTTGAAGGAATTGTATACCAAAAAATAAAAAAATTGACAATTTTCTAAAGCTTATAAACTAATTCTTAAGTTCTCTTGTTATCCCACTAGATAGGGGCCTATATTTGACATCTATCCCCCCCCATTTCTTACCTATTCTTAAGATATATTTTTTTTATCGATTATCGGTAAATAAACATCGTGTATCGTGGATTTGTTGATAAAATTACCTTGATTTTGATATAATTATCTTGATATTTTTTTTTACCTGAAAAGTTTCTATTAATTTAGCTAACCGTCAAAGAAAATAAAAAAAATTCGAACATTCGAAGCTCTAGATTAAGTTAATATTATTATTTATTATTACCCTAAATTTTGAAATTTTAAACTCGCGTTCGAGCAAATTTATCAATTAAAGATGGGAAATTTCGGGAAATTATTTAAGAAAGGTAGAGCTGTGTTACGAGTAGATCTAACATTTAAAAGTTTTGACCTTATGATATTATCCTCTAGGTTCTGGGAGGAAATGGATACATGAAATCCCTGGGTCTGGAGAAGGTGATGAGAGATCTCAGGATTTTCAGAATTTTTGAGGGAACAAACGATATCCTCAGGTTTGTACATAGAGTGTTGCTAATTTTTTTGATTCGTTTTTTGGTTTTTTTTTTGACATATTTCCTCTCAGGGTTCAAATTTGACCCAGTGTATTAAAGCAAATGTTCATTCTAAACATTTGCTTCTTTTACTTTGCTAATTGCCAATTTTTGACCCTGAGAGAAAACATATTTTTAAAAAGACTAACTCTTTGAAATTATCGTTTTTTTGAGTCGTTTCTCCAATTTTAATCTAGGATAAAAATATAGTTTAATGACCCGAATACAGTTTTGAAGTGTTGTAAGTTTTTTTTTCAAATTTCTAAAATAACGATTATCATCACTAAATACTTGAAGTGAATCTTAAGATAAACCCCTTTTTTTACAGTTTGAAAGACAAACATTTTTTACAAAAATAAAAATAATTTACATAATTTACCTAAACAAAATTAAGACAAGATCCGAAAAATGATATATACACAACCATTCATGTTCCCTAACAATTTCAAATATCAAAGAACAAGTTTTATTCCGTGTTAAACTGGTTATCACTGTAGAGCGGGCAAATAGATCCTGTATTAATTTAACTGTCAAAAAGATGGGAGAGGGAATGGAAGGGGGAGGGAGAGGGACGTGAAAACAGATCTTAACAATAAGTATAAGTAGATGGAAACTCTGAGAGGGAGTAATTGAAAAGATACATCTTAAACTCAGTTTTTCTGCAAAAAAAGATAGAATGAACAACAAAAATTAATAGAAACAAATTTTTTAAGTCTAAAAAGAAATGTTTTGACTTTAGACTGTTTGTTGCTCTGACCGGAATCCAGTATGCTGGCGGTCATCTAAAGGAACTACAGAAGGCTGTCAAGGTAAATTTTATTTCCTAATTAATAAGATTTTTTCTTTATATCGTTTCTTTGACCAACGAACAATTTATTTTCGATTAATTTTTATTAGTTCAGACTTTTTTATTTAATTGGCGAAATAAAAAAAGTGGAAATGTTTGTTCAATTTTTCAGCGTTTCGGATCCGGATCCGGATCCGATCGGATCCGTATCATTTGGTCGGATCCGGATCCGGATCCAAAGAGCCAAAATAATGCGGATCCAGCGGATCCGGATCCGGATCCTAAGCACTGCTTTTTTTCTTCTAGTGCTCAAATACTGCTGAGGTGTACTTTGAGAACACACCAATCCCATTGGAGAACGTGATTGGTGGTATTGGGAATGGATTCAAGGTTGCTATGGCTATACTTAACAACGGCAGGTGAAGTCAATATTCATTTTTAACTATTATGCTTCCATAAGACCTCGCGCCCAGATTTCTTCTAATTAATTTTAGATTCTGAATGTTGCTCTACTGGTACTTTTATTTCTAATTTATGGGTTTGAAGATTTATTTGATAAATATTAATTGACGTGAAATTTTATAAGATGTTTTTTTTTGAGGCGGGGATATTAGTTCTTTATTATGTTAAACTAGTTTGAGAGCCTAGCTTAGCTTAAAAACAAAACTTTCCCTATAAATGTCCACTCACTCAACTTAGAATGTTTAAGCCAAGCTAAGAACATTCCTAAGGTCGAGTTCTTTAATCAAAATTTGAGACAAATTGGTCAATATGTTAAATACCTATTTTGTGACCAATTTCGAAAAGCCAGCCTAGATATGTCTGATGTCTTGTGTTTTATGAGTTATGATCGGCCATTTAAACAAACAATTAAAAATTATTATTTTTTTATATAGATAATGTCTAGGTTTGGTATGGGAGCCGCACTCTCTGGAACCATGAGAACTGTGATCACCAAGGCTACTGAGCACGCAACTCAGAGAGTTCAAGGATCCGGATCCGGATCCGATCGGATCCGTATCATTTGGTCGGATCCGGATCCGGATCAGGAAACGTTGATATGGATCCGGGAAGCGCCAAAAATTAATCAAAACCATGGAATAAATAAATCAAAATGGTTCGTAAATGTATTATTTACATGACGAAAATTTTTCAAAATTATCTTTAATAATTTAATGTTTACATTTATATAATAGTAATGACGACATTTTTAACTTTAGGATTATTATAGTTTATAAATTATAACCTTGCATAACATTTAATAGGGAAAATCCGATTCACAGAATCAAAAGTTACCTCGGATCCGGATCCGGATCCGTATCAGAGTCAGGATCCGGATCCATCATCACGGATGCGGATCCGCGGATCCGGATCCGGATCCGAATGATATGGATCCGAAACACTGCAATTTCTGGAAGCACAGGATTTTTTACTTCAGTAAACACAATATGAATGAATGATAACATCAAGAAAACATTATCAAAGTTGTTTATTTCAAATAGTCATGTGCTTAAATATACTTTCGATGATAATAATATCACAAATAATAATAAACCATTACACAATGATAACAATAAAAAAATAGTGAAAAAATAATAACAAAAAATATGAGAATAATAATGTTAACACCCGCAGGGAGTCTTTAATATTCGGGTTGTTTCTTTAATAGTAATAGATATCTAATTAGTTTTCCAGCTTTTCAATGTGTCTAGATTATTCATCTTTATGTTTCTAGGACCCTATCTCCAACTTTGGAGTCCTTCTGGACCAGGTGTCTAAGAGAGCAAAGGGTGGACTAGGAATTGGACCAGGAAACTCACTTGCAGATAAGGTTGGTTCTATTCTTCCTATTTGAATAAACATTTTAACCAGAGATACATGAAAAATAAGTGATTTAATCCTTAAATCATGTCCTGTCCAGTGTCCATATATCTCCGTCCAAAAAGTATTACCAAGCAGATTCCCATCCTTAATTAATAGTTATTTTTCTCAATCCTCATCATAAAATAAAATTTTCAGAAGGAACCCCATCCTAAAATCATTTTCCAGAAAATTCCAATCTATAAATAATTTTTATTTTCCTGAATCTTCATCCTTAATTAAATCATTTTCACGAATCCCCAACCTAAACTCATTTTCCTGAATCTTCATCCTTAATTAAGTCATTTTCCAAAATCTCAATCCTTAAATCATTGCTATAACTATTTCATACTTAACGATCACTGTCAGGAATCTAATATAAATGACGACAGTTTATCTCTAATGCAATGGGAGGAACTTTGCTTTGCAGATTGAACTACTGTCATGCACAAAGCATTACTGAACTTTTGAACACTTACTATATATGTGTTTATGTGAAGCATCTCAACTAAGCATTATTTTGTATTTGATAATCTATTATATTCATCCGTTTTGTTTGTGTTCAGGTTCACGCCAACCTAGTTGACTCAGCTGGCCAAGTGTGCACAGGAGTAGATATGTTCGGTGGCGCTGTAGAGAAACTTCTTATTAAACATGGTAAGTGTTCACAGGGGTAGTTATGTTCGGTGGAGCTGTAGAGAAACTTCTTATTATACACAGTAAGTGTGCATGGAGGTAGTTATGTTCGGTGGCGCTGTAGAGAAACTTCTTATTAAACATGGTAAGTGTTTACAGGGGTAGATATGTTCGGTGGAGCTGTTGAGAAACTTCTTATTAAACACGGTAAGTGTGTACAGAGGTAGATATGTTCGGTGGAGCTGTAGGGAAACTTCTTATTAAACATGGTAAGTGTGTACAGGGGTAGACATGTTCGGTGGAGCTGTAGAGAAACTTCTTATTAAACATGGTAAGTGTGTACAGGGGTAGACATGTTCGGTGGCGGTGTCGAGAAACTTCATTTTAAACACGGTAAGTGTTCACAGGGGTAGATATATCGGTGGCGGTGTAGAGAAACTTCTTTTTAAACATGGTAAGTGTGTACAGGGGTAATTATGTTCGGTGGAGCTGTAGAGAAACATTTATTAAACATGGTAGTGTAAGTAAATATAAGCTTTCAAATCAATTTAGAAAGTGAAATAGGTCTGTATGTATACTGCACATACAACATGAGATTTGACTAGCATAACATGAGTCTAACAGTCGTCGTTCTATTCCACAGTTTATGAGTACTAATCTATGTTATTTACTGTATAAGTATTATCAAAACAACTATCGATAAGATAGACCCTTTTTAAAGAGTTTCAGGCTTGATTCACAACGGTACCAATCAAACTTTTGAAAACTGTTAAAATTATCCTTGTTTTGGTTTTCATCTGAAAATTGAAAAATTGGAACTGCGGATTTATTCAAGGAAGGAAGATGAGAGAATTTACACCTTTTAGATGCAGAAATACGACGACATCTTCCAAAGGGACTGTAAGCGTAATTTCAATTGAACCTCAGTTCAAAAATTGCAATGCCCGATTTACAGAGATACCATTGAAAACTTAATCTGATAATAAACGTGAAAAATACTGTCGTTTTTCTTGAAAAGTGTTTAAAATTGTTTTAGTTTCTCCGTTGCTTTTTTTAAGCAAGAAATGCGCAAGTCACTTTCACAGAGAAAAAGCAAATGAAAATAAATATTTTAAAGACCCATCAAGTCAATTAAAAAACGAACATTTGTAAAAATATCAGAAATCTAGCAGAGAACGCTTTGAAAAACATAACATGATTTATTTCAAAATATATTTCATTTAACTTTCAAAAATTTGATAATTTTCGTCGCGGTTTTTCTTTAAAACATATTTACTTAATAAACAAGGAAATATTCCGGGTTGAAGGAAGTATTTGGAAATATTAAACGTAAACATCGAGGTTAAAAACAGTAGAATTATTCAACAACCAAATTTTAAATTCAATATAACCCAGCTGTTACAGTCTAGAGCGTTGTGAGTGCGCCTAGCAACTCAGGTTTTCTTTTTGCAAATATATTTTGAAACGCAGAGTCGACACTTAAACTGGCTTAGATCCAAATTCTTTTGAAACACTAACCCTTCGTTTATGTTCACAAAGTATTTGTCAAATTGAAACTTTTGAGGCCCTATTGGGGGTATGGGGTAATGAAATAATTTTCTTAATGCTCTGTGAGAACTATTTTTATCGGAAAATCTGCAATTTTAAGGACGACTGTACGGAATTTATACTGTCTGTTTCCTCGAGCTGGAGCTGTTATGTTATACTTGGAATCGTCACATTTGAAATCTTTGTATTTGGGATGATTCAATGATTAATTAACAATATTTATATTTTTAGGAAAGGGAATTATTAATGAGCAATTCCTTCTTAGCAGACTGGCTGATGTGACAATTGATTTATACTCCATGACCTGTGTACTCTCCAGGTATTGATATGTACTCTATGACCTTTGTACTCTCCAGGTATTATGTGCTCTTTGACCTGTGTAGTGTATACTGTACAGGTATTGATTTATACTCCATGGCCAGTGTACTGACCAGGTATTGTTATGTACTATATGACCTTTGTACTGTCCAGGTATCAAGAACTTATTGTTCTGTGTTCTTTCCAGTTATTGTTATGTACCCATTGTGTACTGTCAAGGTATAGATATGTACTTGTCCATGTGTGTACAAGTTGTACAGTTGAATCCGCAAGTCACTTAAAACCCAGTAAACGTTCATTTTTTAATATAAAAACAAGGATATCTCCATGATATCTGTTCAGTTTTAAGGGTACCCAGACCCTTGTAAGTCTTTAACTATGAAGGGTCACTTGAAATTACGTCTTACGTACTTTAAACATTAATTTCTATGTTGTTAGATGCTCTAAATCCCTGAACGAAGGCCTAGAATCAGCTCACCACGAAGAAATGATGACCAAGGTATAAGTTTATTTTTATGAAATTGCATACCTCGTTCTGGAAATAGTTTGAAATAAATAAATAATTTGAAATAATTTCCTGTATTCTAAAATAGATGTAACATTCGGCTTACATACATCACATCAATTACATTTACATTGTACATTTGTAACAAATTCAAGAAAACACGAAGACGATTACTACTGTGTAGCGAAGTTGACCGCGCAAGATTTACAATACATAAAACTATATCCGCTCCAAATGTGTCTCCTCATGCCCCCCCCTCTCTTCACCGCCTCTACTCGTGGAGAACAGCGTCAGTTAGCTTTAGAAAGTCGAGATGTGAACACCTCCGATCAGGAACTACTAACTCCTTCATACTGCTGCAGATACCTACTCTAGCAACGAATGCTGCTAATGTCTAAGCCTCCAGATGTCCAAATCCACAAAACAGTCGCATGTCCTGTGGTATGTGAGGCAAATCGTTCCTCCCCACACATGTTACAGACTGCAAACCCTCCAGGACCGTCGCCTAGATGTGAACCCTTTGCTGCCAAGATGCTGACACCTGCAAGCTGACCATCATTAAGCTCCAACTGTTCCATTCCTTTCAACACTAATAATCAATGTTATTTCATTTTCAACCGTTTAGATAACCCCTTTTTAAGGGTCACTATGTTAAAACAAATTTGATTTTATTATTCAATAAAGTTAAGGAATATCCCTTTTGTTCTTTTATTTGTGTCAACAACATTGTAAACTTACAAAATTAACTACAGGCTTTTCAAAGAAAAATATCTCATTAAACTGAAGTTTATTTAATTTTAGTTTAAAACCATGTTTTCAATCACAACTTAGTTTTAAGTTTCAATCCTCGTGGCTTTTCTCAATGAAAACTGAATACTATTTGATGTTACGAGGTCTCAAAGTCTAATCAGTAATTGTGCATTTGTTCAGGTTTGGTGCAATGAAGCATTTGAGAGGATCAATAGGAACCTGAACATGTTGAAGAATCCAACCAACCTGGAGAACTTCAAGATAATGGCTAAAATTTCAGAGGTACACTTATATATATATAGTACAGTAACAACCAGAAAACTGTAGAATAGGAAGACGACATTAAAACAAAACTTTAGTGCATTTGATGTTGGTTTAAAGCAAACAGCTTTACAAGTAAATTTTTAAACACTTATAAAGTGAAATCATTTTAAACTACACAATTCGGTTCGTTCTGTTCATTGGAGTCTTAAAGTCGTCTTCCTATTCCATAGTTTTCTCACTATAGTAATCCCTGTTTCTATTTCCTTTTTAAAGGAAGGGTCAAATTTAAGAGTATAATTAATGGTTATAAGGGTGTATGTTAACAATATTTATTTTACAGGGTGTCTGCGAGAGAGTGAGCCCTGTCCAAGGAAATCCCCTCGGAGTTTAATCCTAATCCTCTTCCTAATCCCAGCAATATTATGTATTTATTATTTTAAGTCCTTCAACGTTATCCATTTCAAAAACTTAAAATCAGCATCTCATTTAAATTATTGTGAAATATATTTAAAAATAAAGTGAATTGGTTTTTAAAAACTGCAAAAAAGCTTTTGTGAGAGCATTTCATAGATTATGATATTTCACTATAGGACATTATACAGATAGGACATTTCATAGATAAGACAATCCTCAATATCAGTGTATATTGTAATGTACAGGGTGTCCCAAAAAACATGGGTATTCAATGACGTATTCGATATAGTCTTTGTTATGAATTAGCATTGTATTACCTAATTTCATAACCAATAATATTATTGTATCTGCTATAGTTTATTTTATGAAAAGGGTAAAAGACTGTTAAGATGTGTCTATAATGTCTCCACAAGATGAACAGTGAAGACGGACAAGTTTACTCTGTTTGTATACTGCATATTGTAGTCAATACATAAACAAACAAAATGGGAAAATAGCAGACGAAACTCTTACAGATTACAGCAATCTCATTAGGTATCACTATACTAAATCAAAGAATTATTTAAAAAGACAATATCGAATTCGTCACTGAATTACCATGTTTCTTGGGACACTATTATATAATTCTGTTAAAAGGAAATAATTTACCTAAATCTGTGAAAACTGAAGTTCTTAAAAAACTAATTGAAAATAGTCAATCTAATTTAATTAATACTGGCAAGCAAGGGCAAAGGGGATGTCATAAACAATACAAAGAGACTAAATGAATTATCGAGGGAAAAAAGATTGTGTTTTTTTAGAAACTTCATTTAAAACTTCCTGGCTAAGTACATTAGGTGGCAACAGAGAAATGGACCAATTATACATGACGACACAAGTGTCAAATACAACAAGGAAAACAACTTTTTCTCCCATTAGTTAACATGTTTTGCAAGATCAAATACAAAAGTGTAAAAACAGAAAATAAAGAACAAAAAAGTGCAATTTAAGGTAAGAAACGCACTTCGTTTTATTATCACTATTCTTGATACTTTCAGCAGTACTGTGAGTCAAATTCTACGTTACCATTTAATGTGCTTGATAATCTATTTGACAAAATCTGATTAGGGATTCCCATATCACAGGATTAGCTTAGTTACTTTCTATCCTGATAAAACACACGTTTTTTATTTATTTATTATACTTTTTTTTGTCAGCTTAACGTTCTAATAATAAAGTAAAAAAAGACACTATAAGTTGAAAAGTTTTTGTAATACAAACCCAAAAATGATCGAATTCACATTGAAGAAAGTTTCTAGAAAACTAATACAGATTTTCAAGTAGATATTGTCGGATTCAATCTAGAATACATTTAGAACCTAATTTCAATATTCTTCTTCTTCTTTATTAAAAACAAAAGAACACTTATACACTGAAAATATAATTATAGGTATAGAGTGGCTTGTTCTCCCTCTATAGTTTCAGATAAAGTAAAAAACGTGATTTCGAAGAAATAGAAATAAACTTTTAATAAATCTGCAAAAACTATGGATTAATGAATTTGTAAAGTGGCTTGGTCGCCCTTTTATTTTAGCAAAGATAATATATTCAATAAAAGAATAACGAGAGAAAAAAAACTTTAAAAATCAGCAAAAATTATTGATAAGGGCGTAATTGCATAAACGCCTAGAGCTAAAATGCATAAGTGCTTATCGCACAGCTCTGGATCAAGTATTATTCTCCTAGTTTTCAACAAAAACAACAGGGTTTGGCTAGCTTGGATTAAGCAAGTTTCAGTTCTTGAATGTTTTAATTAACTTAGGTACGGGAATCATTTCGGATGATGATCTTGTAGATGTACATGAAGTACTTGAGGCAGGATTTCCCCATGTCTAACCTCTTTTTATCACTGAGATGTAGCATGTTGCAGGCTTTATCTTCTCTGTAATGAGTTTTCCTGACTCCTACTTTGGAGGCCAGCCTTTCTCTTGGACCAATCTTTACTCCTTTCTTGTTCTTAACATCCTTCAGGCCCCAAGTATAAAACCTAGGAGCCCACACAGTAGGCATCCTGGAAATAGTCTCCTCTCGATTGAAAATCTTGATCATTTCGTTCAATAGACATAGGTCGTCGTATTTATTTGACCTAAGTTTTCTATTTTCTTTAGGAAGAACTGCGATCTTAGGAGGTAGGGGAAGGCATGCAGCAGCAAAGCTTCCAGGAGAACAATGCTTTAATTTCTTCATCCCATAAACTGATGCTCTGAATCTTCTCATTTCTTCAATTATATCTCCAGGTTCAGTATCACGCAGTATGTCGTTTAGACCAGCAACAAGGAGAACATCTACGATGATATCCTGGTTAGAGTATTCACAGCAGAAGGCATGATGGAGTGATTTCACAGTACCTCCAGGGATTCCAACACATTCCATGTGGATATCATCTCCAATATATTCGTTCTCATATCTTTTTCCTTGCCATCCGTTTAATATCGAGGAAGTCATCAACAGTGGATATCTCAAGCCAGTTTTGCAGCTGTGTGGAGTAGCTTTGCATGTAATGCAGGGATAATTTCAATATTCTACTCTGCGCTATTTTCTAGTTTTCAGCATTGCTCTCGAGTTTGACAGGTGCAACCAAGAAGTGTTCACAATAACTCTGGGATAGAGGCTCAAAGGAGTTACGCGTATGCCGCGTTGAATTATAAGGCATACGCGTAACTACGCGGCAAGGGCGCAACTTTTTTGAGCCTCTGCCCAGTGGCGCAAATAAGGAAGGTTATTGGGGTTATTTCCCCCCCCCCTAGAATTTGCTTTAAAAAAAGGTTGATTTTAAAATTGAATATCTTTAAAATTTTCATGAAAATAATTCAAAAGTGCAGATACTTCAAACTTTGAATTATTTTGGTAAAATATTTTAAGTTTGAAATATCAAAGGTTTACACCACTTGGTGCAAAGATTTAGGGATTAGAATATTTGAGTTTGTGGCAAAAACTCAGTTCCAAATCTAGAGAACATCCTGGCAAACTTCTAACTGATGATCATATTTGATAACCTGTTTATCTTCTTTAAACGAACTGCTCTAAAATCGAAAATGAAATAAGATTATGAATGTTGGTTAGAATGATTAATCATATATGATCAAGAACTTCAGGAGAAAACGTAACATTATCTGTCCTTTTTCCGTGTAGATTATTAAAATAATATATGTATTTTGATAATATAATAATAAAACTGATTATTTCTTGTAACTATATCTGTAATTAAACAAGGTACTTAACAAATTTTCTTTGGCGCTCCGCGCACACATGAAAAGAATTGACTGACTCATTGCATAATTTTACAGCTGTTGGAAAGTATAAATGTTTTTAAAAACACAAGAAAAAAAAAAATTTGAATTGAACACAGCCAAATCTGCATGCAACAACTGAAAATTTCCTTTTTTCAATGTGAAACCCTTACAAAAAAACTTTTATTTTGAAATAATTTCTTAAGGGGTGGCAAGCCCCCGCTACACCTAAGATATTTTGCCCCCCTCCCCCCTAGCAAAAGTGCTAGCTGTTCCTCTGGAAATTAGAATATAAACAAAGACAAATCTTTTTCAAAGTTTTGCAGAGTAGCTTTTTAAAAAATTAAAAAAAGTAATCTTTTTCCTCTTCGAGTAAAACTATTATTTTTTATCTTACTTAAAATAAATTCAGTTTTTTTACAGATCTTTGTAGTTAATGTAAAATGAACGACTATATTATAGGGTATTAAACATGGTGAAAGCTGAAAGGTAGGAAATAAACCTGTATTTGGTGGAGTTAGTAAATGCCAGAAATGAGTGGAAAATGCAATCAAACCCAACTAAAACCAATAATTTGATATACATCATGATATTTTTCTAGGGGNCCCCCCTACAGAATCCTTATTTACGCCCCTGCCCCGATAAGGATGAGGATGAGAATGAGGATGAGTATTGATCTCGATATTCACAACACAAGAGTCCCCAGCTAATATCATTTCATAAAACATATATTCAAAAATTCTTTATTATAAAATAATAGGTAATAAATCTCGAGGTCCATCCTAAAGAACGATTTTTATTTAAGGATTATTGTGAACTAAAATCCCCTAAATCTTGAAAAGACGACATCTAGTGTGCTAGCTGTATTATTAATCAATGAGAATGGGAATGAGAATGAGAATGCGAATGAGGATGAGAATGAAGATGAGGATGAGGATGAGTATTGATCTCGATATTCACAACACAAGAGTCCCCAGCTTATATCTTTCATAAAACATATATTCAAAAATTCTTTGATATAAAATAATAGGTAATAAATCTTGAGGTCCGTCCAATTAACGACTTTTGTTTTAGGATTATTGTGAACTAAAATCCCCTAAATCTTGAAAAGACGACATCTAGTGTGCTAGCTGTATTATTAATCAATGAGAATGGGAATGGGAATGGGGATGAGGATGAGAGTATTGATCTCGATAGTCACAACACAAGAGTCCCCAGCTGAGAGCATATGAAACTTGTTAATCTGCAACTTAATGTAATTTTTATCCGTTACTAGCTGAAGAGCCCTATTTTAGAAGAAAAAACGATCTGTGATCACTATTTTTAACAATTTTGTCGGACACATAATCTATGTTCTTGACAATCTGTTTACTGTTTACACCGATTTAATTCATTATTTGATTAGAACAAGATGCGACTAAATAAAAGTATTTTATTGTTAAATGGTTTTTATAATTTTTTTCCTGGACAAGTACAAGTATTAAAAATACAAAATGTTAAAAAATCAAGAATTTTCACAGAAAGGATGCATTGCAATATGCAGCATTAAATATGTTACATGGAGTATAAATATCATTTCAATCAATTGGACACGTAATTTTCACTTTTCATGCAATTAAGTTGATTTTCACAATTTTACATAAATTACGTTTATGTCATGAACAGTGGGATAAAATCCCGAAATGTTCGCTAGAAATCTGTTCATAAAGTTTATTATAAGAACAGTTTCTGTTTAGATGAAAAGGTTTGCATCTCGATAGGTAGGTGGTGATATCTCCTAAATTAATAAAATAATCAATTATTTAAATATTTAAATAAAAATTAATGAATATTAAAATAATAATTAATACATATCACAGAAATGTAATTCCAATGTGATGATTTCCATAGTAAAAAAATAACCACCCACAAATTTTCCCAAATAAATTTTAAGATTACTTAAAATGTCTTATAACTTATTAAATTAAGACTTTTATACGAATTGTACAGAGTAAAAAAAAAAATAATCGATTTCTGAATATCACATATTTCAACTGGTTTCTGATTATGTAAACACAATTTCAACAAAAACTAAATTCTGCCAATTTCTGTCTTTAACGTTCAAGTCAAAGTCCACCCGTAAATTTTTATGAAAACTGTAATTAAAACATGTAGAAAAAGAAGAACATCTTATTCATCCCTCATCAGACTAAGCGTTGCAAGGTACCAATGTGAATGGGACAGTCCAAACTATGAATGGGTGCTCAATTGTAATTAGGTTAATAATCCCGTAAAGCACTTACCTTTCTCATCCTGACATCAGCCGAGGTCTCCGGGTGATAAATGGACTAAGCTCATGTTAATATTTTAATCATTTGTTTTAAGAGTTTTCTTACAACGAGAACTACAAAAGTATGTAAAAGGAAGATGTCAATTAGGCCAAGGATTTAATGCAAGGAAAGTTATTTCAGAGGTGTACGCATCTTTTTTACTTGAGTGTACTGTTACTGGGCGGTAATGTAAACACGAGACGGATGTCGAAGCCTGACATGGGATCCATCTTTCACATAAATAATCAATGAAATATTCTAATCATAGGAAACTATTATGGTGAATTATCAAAATTATCAAAATTAATTGCCTTTATCCTCCTCGGATACTAAACGAACACTGAGGCATCTTTTTTTGTTTACAAATTCCGCCCAGACAGACCTGGTTTCAATATGTACGCAGAGTATACGAAACTGCAATTAACTTTCCTTGCATTAAATTCTTGAATCAGGCTATGGTATGTGTTCTACCGGCTTTAAGAATACTTCGCGTCCAATTTCCGCAAGTAATTTTAGCTTTTTTGACTATTGCCTTCAAAGTCAGCCATTTAAAATCATTGTATATTTTTTTTAATTAGCACAATTATAAAACAAAACAAAAGTTTAAACTTTTTTCCAGGATTTTAAAAAATATGACCCTGCACACCGCAGTTATACTACGAATTTGCTGTTTTACATTCATTGAACTATTGTCTGCTTATCAGTTTTATTTGATGAGTTCCACGAGGGGAGGAAGACCAGCCACAACAATTTCTCGTCCGAGCCACATTCTCTTCATTTTCTCGTCCGAGCCACCTCGTAATCCTCGTCCTTCCAATATTTTTTTTTTCAGTGTCTAATCCTTCCAGATAAAACTATTTTTTAAGAATCAAGACACGTTAGGGCATAACATATGGATGGACTAAAGTATTGCAATGATTATATCATGTTGGAATCTTCAAACCCATGAGAATGATGTCGAACTTTATTTACGTAAATCTTAAATCTCTTTTGCCTCCGTAATGGCTTACCTTCGTGATATAAAATAAATAGAAAAATAATTCGGCTTCCTCTGCCTATAATTTTCCATATGGAACCATCCGGAAAAATTCTATGGTTTTCACCATAGTTAATAAAAAAGATTAAAGTTCTATAATATTATTTGCGGCATTCTACACCAAGAATATCTGAAAATGAGCTTAAAAATGGTGAACATTTTTGAAGACATTAAACTTGAAATATTTAATTCAATTGAAACTCCTTTTTTCGATTTACAAAAAAATTGATATTTTATTTAAGCCCTAACATGGCTTGATTATTAAAAAACTGTTTTATCTGGAAGGATAAGACACTTAAAAAAATAATATTGGAAGGACGAGGATTTCGAGGTGGCTCGGACGAGAAAATGAGAATGTGGCTCGGACGTGAAAATGAGAATGTGGCTCGGACGAGACCTTGTTGTGATTAGCCTTCCTCCCCTAGTTCCACTGTATCACACCCCCTTCAAAGAAAAAACATCTAGTGCATATTATTAAGAAGTAGATACAACCATTAATCATGATAAAAAAATTAAAAATTATTCTAGTCTCCCAAAAGGGTGGATTACATGATCTAACATGCTATAATTTGGTGCACAAGAAAAAAATATTTTAATAAGCAGAACTAAAAATCTGCAACGTTTAAAATGTGATTAAAAATATTAAGTTCCTGTTTGCCTGCTTTTCTTTTACGATGAAGTTATCTTCAAACTTAAAAAACACAAAATTAAAAATCTATTAAAATTCTATAAAAATGACCAATGAATTGACTTGTGTAGTGAACACGGAAATTATCTAGTTGCATAAGTTACATAACTTACTGTAGGATCGAAATTGTTATTACTAACAAAAAAGTTGAAATAGAAGATGGGCGAGAAGAGCCCTGATAGCCAAGTAATATATATAGATTTATTACAAGTTGAAATAGAAGATTGGCTAGAAGCGCCCTGATAGCCTAGTGATATATATAGATTTATTATAAGTTGAAATAGAAGATGGGTTAGAAGCGCCCTGATAGCCTAGTAATATATATAGATTTATTACAAGTTGAAATAGAAGATTGGCTAGAAGCGCCCTGATAGCCTAGTAATATATATAGATTTATTACAAGTTGAAATAGAAGATTGGCTAGAAGCGCCCTGATAGCCTAGTGATATATATAGATTTATTGTAAGTAGAAATAGAAGATGGGCTAGAAGCGCCCCGATAGCCTAGTAATATACTTGGTGAGTCAAAAAAAAAGTGTGATTTGCGGCGCCTGGTGCAAAATTGTACTTTGTTTTGTACAACTCTCACAAAAAATTGCAGAATCACAGAAAATTCGCAAAATTGTAATTAGAAAATTCGCAATTTTTCGTTCTGGTCTAATTTTTTACGAAAAGAAATTTAAATTCTCTAGTCCCTTTTTTCTTAGTATATTCTAAAGTATTAAATATACGCTGTTGAATTGAAACCTTAAGAACCATTGAAAAACAATATTTCTGTAAAAATATACCAGAACTGAAAATTGCGAATTTCCTAATTACAATCTTGCAAATTTTCTGAGATTCTGTGATTCAATCTTTATAAAATTTTTGATTTCGATAGAAACAATTTATTTACACATTTTTGTTTTTCTGAACTTTTCATTTTGAGAGAAAAAAAGGTTTGCGGATTTTTTTGGGCCATTGAAGTACCACAAAAAATTACAAATTTTCAAAAAATATTGAAAGAACACCATACAGGAGAGTTGCACAAAAATTACAATTTTGCACCAGGTGCCACAAATCACACTTTTTTTTTGACGCAGCCTGTATATAGATTAAGTCACTTAGAATTGGTCTTCCTATTTCACAGTTTTATGGGGCTCACAGTATATGAGAGAATTAGTTAAAATACGAGACCTGTTTTGTTGTATTTAGTTGCATGTTAAGTATGGAAGAAGGATGCATATCATTCCTGAACAAATACCATCGGTTAAAAAAGTAAGTCAACGGGACTGACAAAAAAATTCCAAGCTTTTAAATTGTAAGTCTGATAAACAGTTACCTAAAACATTCAGCTCAGTGGCAATGTAAGAAAAAAAATTGTCTATTTTCTTCATATAACCGTGAATCATTTACATTGAATAATGAGATCAATTTTATTCACACAAGAACATTATTTTCGTCAAATTAGGAATCAGGAATGTATTTATTGATATTTTTTTTCAAATCAAACTTTAGAATGTGAAAAAACTATTCTGGAAAAAACGGGTGGAAAATAACTCCCCCCCGGCCCTGAGAGGGACAATCCAGCAGCCATGAGCCTCAAAATTATTTTTATATAGAAAATGAAGACAATAAATCTATCAAGATATTGTTTAAATAAAAGATTACAACAAAAAAAACTGAATTAACTCCAAGTTTTTAATTACAAATCTTACTTTCTGTACATTAGAAAACTAGTTAAGTTTAAGTTTAAAAATTAGAGGCTCGGTACTAAATCTATGAGGCTCATGGCGGCTCCCTCACCATGACTGATCAATATTTCTTAAAAATAAAACTTATAAAAATGAACAAACCGTCCAGCGATCTTGTCCGAGAGGATAAGGAGAAGAGCCTCAAACTGTGCACCATCTACATTCCTTAAAGTATCAAGAAAAGTACAGTTTTTTAAGATATTAAAGATATCAAAGATATTTAATATACTAAAATACCAAAGATATAAAGATACTTTCTAACATTATACTATGTACATTCCTTAAAATATTAGGAAAATTTTAGGCCCAAGTTAAAATATATATAAAGATTTTTTTTGTCCTCGTAATATTTTTTGGGTTCCATGAGCATTGAGCAGTAAGCATCTTACGTACATCACTAATGTATTTGTGTAAAATAAGACCTCTTTACATTGAAACATAATAATCTTGAACCTCATGCTTTTATTAGATTTTATGGCATTATAAAGCATTGCTAATAAGTTCCAATTATGATTTTGTCTTGACAATCAATATCAATATCTGTAAATCTTGCAAGAAGGGGGGGGGGCGTGACGCCCACCCCTCCCCCAACCCCCAAAAAAAGCCTTGAGTTAAGTTTTGAAGTTACAACATGTCCATTACCCAATTTTTTATATACAATGTGCAGGCACTTTAAAATTTGGACGACTCGGTACCTTAATTTAAGTGATTTCTGCATGGTGTCACAAAAAAAAAGTACATAACTTGTGAAAAGTACTGAGCACTATTATATTAGTAGCTCGACTTAAAGAGGACAAATTAATCCGTAGATAGAGATCAATGCTTGATCCCCAGATTCACAACACAAAAGATGGATGGAGATCAATGCTTGATCCCAAGATTCACAACACAAAAAAAGGTCGATGCTTGATCCCAGAGTTCACGATACAAAATACTGATGGAGATCAATGCTTGATTCCAAGATTCACAACACAAAAGATAGATGGAGATCAATGCTTGATCCCAGGCTTCACAACACAAAAGATTGATGGAGACAAATGCTTGATCCCAGGATTCACAACACAAAAGATAGATGGAGATCAATGCTTGATCCCGAGATTCACAACACAAAAGATAGATGGAGATCAATGCTTGATCCCAAGATTCACAACACAAAAGATAGATGGAGATCAATGCTTGATCCCGACATTCACAACATAAAAGATGGATGGAGATTAATGCTTGATCCTGAGATTCACAACATAAAAGATGGATGGAGATTAATGCTTGATCCTGAGATTCACAACATAAAAGATGGATGGAGATTAATGCTGATCCTGAGATTCACAACATATAAGATGGGATCCTGAGATTCACAACATAAAAGATGGATGGAGATCAATGCTTGATCCTGAGATTCACAACATAAAAGATAGATGGAGATCAATGCTTGATCCTGAGATTCACAACTCAAAAGATAGATGGAGATCAATGCTTGATCCCAGGATTCACAACATAAAAGATAGATGGAGATCAATGCTTGATCCCCAGGATTCACAACACAAAAAAACCCCGACTTTAGCTAATATGAGATTGAAGAACGCACCCCCTACATCTGGCGTATATGATATTTAATAAATTTAAAAATCTACTTACTTGGCGATGAGAGTGAGGAGGGTATAGAATCCAAAGTTTCCATGGCAGTTTACACGGGATAGCACATGGGATTGTAGAGACTTGGCCTGACTCCTATTACATAATTTGTTTACTTAAGTAAATTTAAGTCCAAAAAAATCCTTAAAGAAAAGTGTCACTTGGAATTTACCAAATATTGGAAAGACTAATTGTGGCTTTTTTCAAGACTAAAATATACATTTACTTCTATAAATAACATGTTAAATTAAAACATAAGCCATGTCTTGTCATACTTAGAGATACTTAAAAATAGGACCACACTTTGGAAAGCTCAAAGGATATGTACTAACTTCCTTGCTTATGACAAATTGGTTTGGGTGAAAAATATCGGTTCTTAAAATTACTAACATCAGATGACGATTTGCATAATGGGTCATTTAATAGAAATTACTCTTATCCTTTGAGTGTTTAGAAAATACAATCCAGTAATAACAAGATTTTAATCGTCAAGCGAAAGTTATTACCTGAGCATAATATATCTGGCACCTGGAACAAGGATGAGAACTATATCAAGGAGAACCTAGAATTAAGGATGTTCAAATCCTTCAAAAAGATTGTTAACTAGTTAAATCTAGTTTATCACCATTTCAAACCAATAACTTTCATTAAAACATCATTATAGTAAAAGATTTTTCCGCAAAATTTTAAATGGTTGAGCATGTGCGCAATTTAGCGCAAATATTTGATCGCACATTTTTTGCTTTAACTTGCCCTGAAATATATATTAGTAAAATTATTTTTTCCCGCAGTTACAAAATGTTAGGGCTTGTTTTCGCCTAATTTACACTCGAAGCCTGTTCAAACCCATGGAAAATTTGCTTGAAAAAAGAGCAATTTTGATTTTTAAAAATCCTACAATCCATATTGGAAAAATCTCAAACACTCATTTCTCAACTCAATTTGAAAGAGCGATATGGAATTTTTTAAATGAAACAAAATATGCAAGAAAATGGTGGAAATAATTAATTTATCGTCAACTATAATTACCTTGACAGTGGTGAATGCAATAAGAAAGATCTGAAGATACCAGGAGATCAGAAATATCTTTTGATTCAAGATGTTCACGTTCAATATGCAGATACCTGAAATTTCAAATTAAAGGGATTGTGTGGACAATATTTCAAGGGTCATTCCATTTAACAAATTAAAGGCCCAAATTTTAATGGTACTCTTACTCCAATATTAAGTCCCTTATTCCCATATAAAGTCCCTTATTCCCATATAAAGTCCCTTATTCCCAGATAAAGTCCCTTATTCCCATATAAAGTCCCTCATTCCCATATAAAGTCCCTCACTCCTATATAAAGTCCCTCACTCCTATATAAAGTCCCTCACTCCTATATAAAGTCCCTTACTCCCCTATTTAGTCCAATTCACTCATATAAAGTCCCATACTCCCAAATAGAGTCCCTCACTCCCATATAAAGTCCCTTACTCCTATATTCATTTCCCTGCTTCTATATTCAGTCCCTTACTCCTTTATTAAGTCCCTTACCCTATATTAAGTCCCTTACTCCTATATTAAGTCCCTCACTCCCATAATAAGTCCCTTAGTCCTGTATTAAGTCTCTTACTCCTATATTAAGTCCCTTACTTCCCTTACTCCTAAATCAAGTCCCTTACTCCTATAACTCCCTTACTCCTATATTAAGTTCCTTACTCCTACATTAAGTTCCTTACTCCTATATTAAGTGCCTTACTCCTATATTAAATCCCTTACTCCTATATTAAGTCACTTACTCCTATATTTAGTACCTTACTCCTATATTTAGTCCCTTACTCCTATATTAAGTCCCTTACTCCTATATCAATTCCCTTACTCCTATATCAATTCCCATATTCCTATATTAAGTCTCTTACTCCTATATTAAGTCCCTTACTCCTATATTAAGTCCCTTACACTTATATTAAGTCCCTTACTCCTATGTTCAGTACCTTACTCCTATATTAAGCCCCTTACTCCTATATTAAATCCCACTCCTATATCAATTCCCATACTCCTATATTAATTTCCATACTCCTATATTAATTCCCATACTTCTATATTAAGTCCCTTACTTCTATATTAAGTCCCTTACTTCTATATTTAGTCCCTTACTCCTATATTAATTCCCATACTCCTATATTAAGTTTCTTACTCATATATTAAGTCCCTTACTAATATATAAAGTCACTTAGTCATATACTAAGTCCCTTACTCCCTTTGCTCTCCCATCTGAAGCACCTGAATCTTGGATTGCAGATCCTGAAGATCCAACATAGTTCATTCTACAGTTTGTCACCAAAGGGAACACTTCCTGCGCAAAATGTTTGTAAAAAATAAGCTAAAAATTAGTGATGGACAACAACTTTTCAAGAACTTTTAAAGGCAAAACACAATTACTGTCAATATGTGAAGGTTCCAACTATTCCCATCATTTCAAAACTGTTTTCTGTAAAAGATTACTTTTCTTAAATTATGTAGAAACTTTATCTTAGGATAAATCTAAGGGGAAAAGTAACCAAAAAACGATCATTTGGCAATCAGTGTATATAGGACAGATTTAAATTATGCAGTGAGACCTCTGCAATAGAAAGGGGGCTGTTAAGACGAAAGTTATGATTTAAATTGTTTGGTGAGACCTATTCACCTCTGGAATAGATTTGAAAGAGGACTGTTAGTTAGTAATGATTTAAATTTGTCAAATGAAAATAGAACACTGCAATAGTACTGTACAAACCGTACTCAGATTCATTTTATAGCATTAGTTGATTTTAAGCTTTTGGTAAAACTATTTTGGTAAAACTATTTTCTTAATGATAACACACAGATGCAAAGATTGTCGGAATTTTTCTTCCTATTCCACAGGGGAGGNCGTTCTCCAGGAAAGACCCAATCATACAAAAAACGACAACATCTTCCATATTGTAAATTTGATAAAGGTTTTGAGGTTACTTTTGTGAATTGGGCATTGCCATCTATGCATGGAGGGTCACTTTAAATTACGCTTAAAAACCCTCAAGTTTTTGAAAACTAACTGATTTCAGTGAGAGAAACATGTTTTCAGTCATTAGTTCAGCTAATGAGGAGAAACAAGTTTCAGCTCATGAGATTAATGAAAAATACTTAATAAAAAAAGAAAATAAGAAAAAAGGAAGTTTAAAAATGCAGCGTTTAATTTTTTACCAGTAACTTTTATGAATTAGGAAAATTTAAAAGAAGGTTTTTTTCATCCTAAAAGGGAGTGTTCGCGAAAAATGAAAGGGGATATAGGCTTAATGCGATAAAAAAGCGCTTTTGATCGCTACTAATTTTACTTCTATCTGTTGCGTCTTTAAAGAGAAAATTGTTGAAAACGACTCACACCGAAGAACGCAGCATCCATACAAATTCGGAAAGATGAAACATTTAACTCGGATCGTAAACAAATCAATTTAATTCCAAACAAATCATTCAGATATTACAAACAGTAGTCATCGACTATTTTTCGACGCATTCGTATATAGTTAATATTTTATAATATTTTTGATTTTGTTCTTTTTTAAATAATTTTCGCTGGCGCTGGATTTTCGAACATTCCATCCTCGAACCAGGAATAAATGTTTTCAAAAGTAACTCTCAGATCATGAAAAATACAAAATATTATGAACAACTATTTACGAGTCATCGAAAAAGAATCGATGACTATTGTTTGTAATACCTGAATGATTTGTTTGGAATTAAATTGATTTGTTTACGATCCGAGTTGAATGTTGAATCTTTCTGAATTTGTATGGACACTACGTTCTTCGGTATTAGTCGTTTTTAACAATTTTCTCCTTACATACACAACAGATAGAAGTAATATTACTAGCAATCAAAAGCGCTTATTTTTCGCCGCAAGCCTATACCCCCTTTCATTTTTCGCAAACATTCCCTTTAACTCTACTTTTCTTGTAAAATTTATTTATTTTCCCCTTCAGCGATAAAAAAGAAAAACAAAAATTGCAAGAAAATATACATGCCTGTAAAATAATTGCCAGTTTCTTTTGTTACATTATTTAATGTTTAAGATCAAGGGCCTGTAAGTGTAATTTCAAGCAAAGATTGCAATTCCTGTTTTGATACATGGTACATGGTACCTACCTTTGACTAATCATATAAGCCAAAAACAAATCTGTGCTTTTATCTCTCAAACAGTGTTTTAATTGCATCAAAGTGGGAGTGAATGCAAGCCTAGAGTGTGAACTCGACACAACTGACATTACGTAAAAACCTTGAAAGTGCCAAAAGTTCTAAGCTCGAAATTTTCTGATATTTGATTGTGAATGTAATTTAAATGACTTCTGGAAAGTTAATATCAATTTCTTAAATAAAGTCAGTTAGCAAATTAAATCAAATCAGTGTGCTATAAAGGGAGTGTTCGCGAAAAATAAAAGGGGGTATAGGCTTAATGCGATAAAAAGCGCTTTTGATCGCTATTAATCTTACTTCTATCTGTTGCGTCTATAGGAGAAAATTGTTAAAGACGTCTCATACCGAATAACATGGCGTCCATACAAATTCAGAAAATTGTAACACATGACTTAGACCGTAGAAAAATCAATTTAATTTCAAACAAATAATTCAGATGTTACAACCTTTAGTCATCGATTATCTTTCGCCACATTTGTATATAGTTTATATTTTATAATATTTTTTAATTAATTTGTTTTGAATTTGATTATTTCTCTTGTCGCTTGCGCAACTATCTAAGAATGCACCGCACCACTCACATTTTTCGAAATCCGTTAAAACGTTTTCTAAAAAAATAAAATATTATAAAATATAAACTATATACAAATGTGGCGAAAGATAATCAATGACTATAGGTTGTAATATCTGAATGATTTGTTTGAAATTAAATTGATTTTTACGGTCTAAGTTGTATGTTGCAATTTTCTGAATTTGTATGGGCGCTAAGTTATTCGTTATGAGACGTCTTCAACAATTTTCTCCTTATAGACGCAACAGATGAAAGTAAAATTAGTAGCGATCAAAAGAGCTTTTTTATCGCATTAAGCCTATACCCCCTTTCATTTTTCGCGAACAATCCCTTTAAGGACTTGTAGAGAAGGGTCATCCCATGTCAAGTCAATCATCTATGGAGGGCATGTCACAGATTTTGCTGAAATTTTGCATACAGCTTGAGATATGAAAAAAATCCTGGATGAGCGTTCCGAGACCTCCGAGGCCAGAATTATGACTCCAGAAAGTTTTCCGAGATTTTGAGGACGGTCTCTATATTACAAATGGCTCTTAACTTTTTTGTTTTTAAAGATAGCTCCAAAATTTGTTCAGTTTTGAATTAGTAATCACAAGCATTTTAATAGCGTGAAGAGAAAAAAATCATTAAAAAATATTTACAAGTCATAATTGCACTTCTTTATTTACAGTCTGCGTTTGAGGATGTGTACAAATTCTGATAGTGTTGAATTTTTTATATATCTTTATACTGCCAAAATGATGGGGTTAGAAAAGGAGGAAATAAAAGTAACAAATCTCCAATACAAATATTCAATTGCACCATTAAGGCCTGTATGATCATGATTCAGTAATAAAAGTCAAAAGTAAAAAATCGAATTTTATTCTTATCTAAAACATAAAAAAAATTAAATAATTTTCTACTTAAAGCACTGAAAAATGTCAATAGAACATTGCTACGCAAATATGCAAGTTGCTGACATAGTGCTGACATACCGCACAATGTTTGTCTTGATGAGCTCTTTTAGAATCTCAAAAAAAAATTACATGGGAATTTGTCTCATCTCTTCGAGGTCCTTCAAGCACAGTGTGTGACATCCTTGATCAGTCAAAGCTTTTAAGAGTACTGTTGTGAATCAGTCACTCAGTGATGGAGGGTCACTTGAAATTACGTTTACAGTCCCTTGAGAATGTCAAACTTACCTCGACTACTCTCACATACTCCCACGGATAAGTTACAGACATAAAGTCTAAAAAATACTTAATAAAAAACTAATTTTCCAAAAAATGATCTGTTAAGAAAAAATAATACCATGTCCAAGGCCAAAGAACCTTTCACCCAGGATGATATCAAGGAAGTACATCTAGAAAAGCAAAGGTTTAATTAGTAAAGTTTTGGCACAGGGAGATGTTTTGGTAAGTTTATTGTGATGCATTAGGGAGAGCTAAGAAACTAGATTAATATAAATAATTAAGAAAAATGTGCCAATTGATTACATCTTTGTTTTAGTTTAAACAAAACTAGTTCCTGAGCTGTCCTAAAAAGTTGGAGTATGATGTAACAACCTATGTCCCATTCAGCTTTGTTCTAAATCTCCTTTGTTGTAACTGCAGTCATTATAATAGAAAAAATACACACTGGGTTAGGATATTACCTGTAGGATGGCTATCAATAGTATTACTAGTTCTCAAAATACCCCATGGTTAACATTACCTGTTAGACAGACAGCAGAAGTATTCCTGGTTCCATATACATACCCCTGGTTAAAAGGGATAGCAGGAGTATTCCTAGTTCCAAATATATACCAATGGTTAACAGATTACCTGTGGGACAGACGGCAGGAGTATTCCTAGTTCCAAATATATACCCATGGTTAAAAGTTACCTGTAGGACAGATAGCACTATTCCTGGTTCCTAACATATACCCCTGGTTAACAGATTACCTGTAGGTTGGATAACACAAGTATTCATAGTTCCAAATATATACCAATGGTTAAAGGTTACCTGTAGGGCAGATAGCAGGAGTATTCCTAGTTCCAAATATATACCCATGGTTAACAGATTACCTATAGGACAGACAGCACTATTCCTGGTTCCTAACTTATCACCTGTAGGATGGTTAACACAAGTATTCCTAGTTCCAAATATTTTTGGTTCCACTTCGAATTGTATTCAATGTTTCAAGATTTATGCTGGCGCTCAATTCAAACCAGTTTTCGGAGGATTTGAGACACAGCTCAAATTCATTAAATTTGGACTCTGGTATAAGATTACCTGTAGAACAGATAGCAGGAGTATTCCTAATTCACAAATGAACATTTTCCTGCCAACATTAAAACCATCAACATTAAAACCATCAACATTAAAACTTCTGCTCAGGATCTATAATAGGAACTGATAACTCATCCAGCCAAACTCTTAATTTTGTGATATGATTGAAACCCAGATGGTGCAAACCTTGATATTAACCATTTAATTTAGCATCATTCTACACCATCAGATTTTCAAGTAATTAAAAAGAATAAATGTTTTAAGACCAAGAACCATACTTCCTGCACTTTCTAATAACTTAATCAATTTTTTATGATTTAAACCCCACCCCAGTTTGGAAGACAACAGGAAAAAGCACAAAAGTTCCTCTCCTTTTTCAGACAGTGCAAAAGCTATGAATGAGATTTGCATGATTTTAACTTATGAAAATTGACTATTTACAATATCAGTTTCTCAAAGTATGACATGGGGATATCTTCTTCTGAAACAATGGAGAACATTTTCATAACTGTCACATTATTGTTCAAAGGTCATAAATGGTACTTCACTTTATCTGACATGCCCCTTATTAATGGAGAGACACTTAAATTCCATGGACTGTCTCTTAAAATATTAAATTAGTTGATGGTTTTCCTGGCGAAGCAATTGTACCAACAAGGTTTAGCAGCTAAGAATTTGCTGATACCTTAATAGAACTTAAATTATATACTCATATATTTAGAAAATTGATGTTAATAGATAGAAAATAGATGGAAATAGAAGTAGACGTTATTTTATTCAATTGTCCCGAGGGACAGTTAACACATAAATTCCTACTAATTTGGTCAAAAAGCGGTTAAAATTACAAAAAAAACATTGAAAAATAACAGACCTTGAACCTGCTCACTGAGAGGAGTTTCAGTCAGTGGATCGGAGGACACCTGAACAAAAAGTCTCTAGAAGTAAATAAATAAATAAAATGGTCAACCATCATCCCATGGGAGTCAGGGTTAAGCTCTCATCAAACCGTACCACCATATTGGTTGGCATTCACAACTTTGAGTAAATATTCAAATATGAGCCCATTATTAAGGAATCGGTTCAGCAGTCATGAGATATGATTGAACATTCAAACCGCCAAACGAACAGAGATTAATACTATTTAAATATAGATGCAATTAAAAAATATCTGAACCCATTCCCAAAAGGCTAAATCTTGATCATTATGTTAATTGAACAAAAACTTCTTATTTCTGAGTTTGAAAGCTGATCACGAGACACAAATCATAAATACCTTTGCCAGAAGCTTATCAAGTTTTCCACCTTCAATCATTTTCCAGGCTCTATAGGGAGCATAGAAGAGAATTGCCTAGGAGAAGAGAAAATAAGTAAAAATTCAAGAACAAAAGTAAACCTTCAAGTGAACCCTTTTTTTAAAGAATAGAGTGGCATGTCATATTCACAATGGTACTCTTTAACCCTTACTATTAACAAGGTTTAAATGTTAAGAGAAATCCACAATTACGGTGAAAATAGCTTTAATACAATTGTGGTTTCTCTTCGACTTTCAGATATATGCTGCAGAGAAAAGGAAAAATATAACATGGATAATATCTTCCATATTAAGGTTTTAAGGTTACTGTTTCCAACATGCAATTTGATAAATTGAGGATCCTAAAAACTAATTTCCTTCTTTGAAAGCAGGGTTTAATACCTGAAAGAAGAGAATAAAAGGCACCCACTGATAGTAGTCATGTCGAATCATCCTGAAGACAAGAAAAATAAAGGTATGGAGTATGACAAATTTTAAGTGCACTGAGATGTTGAAAACTGCCGCAGAAGCGACGTGATCAAACCAACTAAAAAGTTAACACTCTTGAGATTGAAAGTTTGTTTGGGTTGGAACTTAGCTCACCAACTTAACTCAATTATTAAATATTATATAAATCTGCAGATCTGCAGAAGAGAGATCAATGCTTGATCCCGAGATTTACTACACAAAAGAGCTATAAATTCAGACCTTATTTCAGAAGAAAAAAAAATTAATGATAAATAAAGAAAATAAGATCATGGTGGACCCCCAATGTGGAATCCCCAGACGTCCATGGGACGTTATAGGCCCGTGCATAAAGCTAAATAAAGTTGGTTAAACAATGTGAACTAAAAACAAATATCTTAATAATAATAATCTTACTTTCCATTCTGCAATGATGAAATACCATGGTGTGCATGGGTATCCGGCACTTCTTCAAGGCGCTCGCCATCCTTCAAATATTAAAAAGTTAGCAACATTTAGGACGCATATTTCAGGAAACTATTGTTGAGAACGCAGTGTTCAGGACGCACTATTGAGGACGCACTTTATCCTATACTATATACTATACTGATACAATTGAACTGTTGAGAAGTGCCATCACAAACTTAATACATGACGGGTAGTCTTAGAGTAATATTAATAATTTAGGGCTCTTCACGCCTCCTTTCCTGTTAATTATTTAATTTTCAACTAGTTGTCTGTCTGTCATTTTAAGTCATTTTCAAATTTTAGGTAATTTTTGCCTTTAGAATTGGAGCAAAACTCCAAATTAGACAACAAAAGTATAAATATATGGATTAAAGAGGAAGATTACATGAATTCCACTGTTTTCTGGTTCTCACTGTAAATGCAGGATTAACAGGATGAGCTTTACATAAAATTATAGGATAGTTAAACTACATACCACTTGAGTGATAGTCCCTGTCATAAAGCAGTAGGCAGAGAACATATTAGTCGGGATCTTTGTTGGATTACACTAAACAGAGAACATATTAGTCGGGATCTTTGTTGGATTACACTAAACAGAGAACATATTAGTCGGGATCTTTGTTGGATTACACTAAACAGATAGAATATTTGTAAAAAAGGGCAAAATAATGCTGAAAGAAAGTTTGGAAAATTAAAAGAATTTCTTGAATTATTTCTTGTAACAGAAAAATATTTCAGACGAAAGTTCTATCTTAAAGGGAGTGTTCGCGAAAAATTGAAGGGGGTATAGACTTAATGCGATAAAAAAGCGCTTTTGATCATTTCTAATCTTACTTCTATCTGTTGCGTCTATAAGGAGAAAATTGTTAAAGACGTCTCATACCGAATAACATGGCGTCCATACAAATTGAGAAAATTGCAACATACGACTTAGACCGTAAAAAATCAATTTAATTTCAAACAAATCATTCAGATATTTAGTCATCGATTATCTTTCGCTACATATGTATATATTTGATATTTCGTACTAGTTTTGATTTTGTTTTTTAAAATAGTATTTAGCTTACAACTTGTTTTTGAACATTCCTGGAAAATATGAAAATGTCGTCTTCATTACCAAAAATCCTCGAAACAGGAATAAATGTTTTTATAAGTAACTCTTAGATCATAACAACTAAAACATATTACAGAAATTCAAATGATTTACAAGAGATTTAAACACAGATCTCTCTTTACTCGATGCACAGTCAATGGTTTAAATAGTACTGTTGTAAATTTAGCATTGCCTTCTTTGCATGCAGTGTCGATTAAAAATTACGCTTACAGTCATATTCGTTAGGCCTACCAAATAATATTTCCTAGAAATGGTTAACTGATCCCATTTTTATTACAAGAAATCTTTAAAACAAGTCTGAACCATTTACTAAATATATCTAGTTTAAAATTTACCAGAATAGGTTCTCCAAAGAACTGTTTAGAAGTGGTTAAAATACTGAATATGAGCAACACTATTCCAGTCCATCTGAACAAATCATTTAATTATTTCTCGACTACAGAAAAGTGCAACCCTCCCCCCCCCCCCACTTCCAAGATTTGTACGCCTTAAACCTTTGCATACTTTATTAGTTGTATTGACTAAAAAATACTTTTTAATGCTCGATGGGGAGAAAAAAAAGAAAAATTTGACATTAAATCGTCAATTTTTATCATTCTTATCAATATTACCTAAAAACTAATTTCTTTACTTTAAGTAAATAGTATTAACGAGGACATCTCCGATCCTGAGTTCCGTCGAAAAAATCTATGGTTTGCATGGGGTTTTAGGCCCAATGGTTTTTAAATCCCCCCCCCCCCTCTCATCGGACAAATTCCTAAGTACACCTTCAAACAAATTATTTCTGTCAGACGTCAATATAAACATTTCATTTTATTTTTAAAAATTTATTTCTTTTACCTTGAAACCTTAAAAGCAGAAGTAGATATGTCAGCACTTTTACATTTAGGGCTAAGAAGGTTTTTAACCGCCCCAAAAAGGGCTAAAACAGACATCTTTATTTCTGAAATATATGAGAAAATAGTTGCTCTTGGCAATCGGCACTTAACTGGGTCTATTGTTGGAGGAATTAAAGAATGGGTAATATTAAACAACAAATGCTACGGCTATATTGATAATTTTAGGATTGATTAAAAATATTAAATTCCCTAAAGGGTCTGTATGTGTAGTTTACAACGGTATCCTTAAAACCTTTCTCCGATCCAATATGAATTGGACATTTTTTTGTAAAACTGTTTTATTTATGGGTGCAGTTCTGCAATTGGTGACGCATTTCTTGCTTAAATGAAACAATGGTCACATTGTCAGAATTAAAAACTTGCAAATTTAGAAAAGTTATATCTTCCACATTTACGTCTTCTTTGATTGAAAGGTTCATCACTATACAAGCAACACGTACAGTTCCTTTAAAACCATGGAAAAATCTCATTCATTCTTCGTCAGAGGAATCATTTATTCAGTTTATATTATACGATTTTTGGCACCCCTCCCCCCTCCCCACCTCCCTTCTTATCAATTTTTCAACAGATTTAAATAAACCAAAAAGTGTTCTTTAGGAAATTAAATCAGATTAGAAAAATTAAGTATACCTTACATTGAATGTTTGTACGTATTCTGGAAAATGAAAACTTGTTATGCATTCATAACCTATAGGACAGACAGCACTATTCCTGGTTCCTAACTTATCACCTGTAGGATGGTTAACACAAGTATTCCTAGTTCCAAATATATACCCATGGTTAAAAGTTACCTGTAGGACAGATAGCACTATTCCTGGTTCCTAACATATACCCCTGGTTAACAGATTACCTGTAGGTTGGATAACACAAGTATTCATAGTTCCAAATATATACCAATGGTTAAAGGTTACCTGTAGGGCAGATANTTCTCTAGGAAATTACCGTGCATTTTTGCGGCTTCAATTTTTACATTAAACTTTAGTCTGCAATGAAAAATAGTAAGATTTTAAGTCGGAAAACTTGCAATTTAAAAACTCAGTTAAAACAAATAATCCCCACGGCGCAGAAAACCTTAAATTTTGTTTCGATTTTCACAGAGTTCTGTTATATTTTCACCAAACGTTTTTGTCTAACTTTTAATTAAAATCAATAAATTCAATCTGGTTTTTAGCGTACACATTCTAACAGGGTTGCCACCCATAAGATTATTTCAATTTTCAAATAATCGAAAATATGGCTATAATTATTTCAATTAACCATAATATTTCTTTTTCAAAATTGCTTAATGAGCTATACTTTAAATTAATTGAAAATTGATTGGTTTTGATAAAATGTTTTGTAAAAAAAGTAATAACATTGTTTGATGTTTATAGATTTTAAAACCGGAAAAAAGGCAAAAGTTATAGTTGATTAGCCTGAGTTTAATTGCCGACGAATTGAGTACAAAGAGTACAAATGTACGCTACATTCATTCAACTTTAAAATCAAATATTCATTTCCAGGGGCATTCTAAGGAATACTGTTTTGGGGGGGGGGGGGGGGGATTTTACCCACAAAAAGATATAGATTTGAAGGCTCTCTTAAAATTAAAAGGTTTTGATAAAAATCCTGCAATTACTAACACACTTTCCAGACCAGGCCCCCCCAGCTCGACTTGTCATGGCCATGACCAAAGTCCCTGTTTAAAATTCCCTGGGGGTGGATTCTCATTTGAACTACTCCCGTTCGAACTATTGTTCGTTTGAACTATTGTTCGTTTGAACTAAATTGTTCATTTGAATGTTCATTTAAACTCTTGTTCATTTGAACTATAATGTTCAATTAAACTACTGACATGACGTCATATCCTGTAGTTCAAATCAACACGTATTACTGCTCATTTAAACTATTTTTCTACCAAATTCAGTTTTTAAATTTTTTTATAATTCTCATATGTTAGTATGATTTAATTAATTAGATCAATTACACAGAAATTCAAATAAACATGAAAATAGAATAAATTAACAAAAAATAGTTCAAATGAACATAAAAATAGTTCAAATTAACATAAAAATAGTTTAAATGAAAAAAATAGTTCAAATGAACTTTAAAATAGTTTAAATGAAAAAAAAATAGTTCAAATTTCAACTTAAAAATAGTTCAAATGAAAAAAAAATAGTTCAAATGAAATATAGTTCGACAAATGAAAAAAAATAGTTCAAATGAGAAAAAAATATTTCGAATGAAAAAATGACAAAAAAATAGTTGAAATGAACAAAAAATAGTTCAAATGACAAAAAAATAGTCCAAATTAACATGAAAATGGTTCAAATTAAATAGTTAAAATGAAAAAAAAATTAAAGTTCAAATATAGAAAAAATAGTTCAAATGAAAAATAAACAAAAAAGATTTCAAATAAAATAGTTGAAAAACATATAAATAGCTAGTAACCTGACAGAGTCTTAATTTATTTGCTCGAAAACTAACTTTAACATTATCACTTAACTTACTAAATCACAGCTAGCCATCAGCGCAACTATAAGTGTGGGTCTGTCCTAGAGAACGATTTTTGGACCCCCGCGATCCCTCCCCCCCTCCTATCAATTTTGTTCATGACCACTTATTTTTCATTTTTTTCAGCAAGATATTATTTATTTTTTATTATATTAGGTTAGGTTAGGTTAAGACAATTTCTGGGCCGAGCGCTGCGTCTAGGACAAGCTAGGGGGCCGAGCGCTGCGGCTAGGACAGGCTAGTGGGCTGAGCGCTGCGGCTAGGACAGCGTAAGGGCCAAGGGGCCGAGCGCTGCAGCTAGGACAGGCTAGGGGGCTGGGCGCTGCGGCAACATGATCAATTATATCCATGTGTTATCTATGTATACAAAATTGATGAGAGGGGGGGAGGGGGGGGGGGTCCAAAGATGGTTCTCTAGGAAATTACCTAGCATCAGGGAAAATTTTATATCAACAGGAAATTTATACAAACCTTTGTTATTGTCAAGTCTTACTTTTTAAACATAGTTTCCTTTTTCGTAATTTCCCGGGGGGGGGGGAGGGTAAGAGGATAATTGTCCCCCCTTTGTATGCCCCGGAATAAGCTGCTAATATTTTCAGTATGTAACATGAGCCCGTAATTTTACACAACTGTTTTTTATGTTTTTTATGTTTTTTTATTTGAACTATTTTTTTGTCCATTTGAGCTACTTTTTTGTTCATTGTAACTATTTTTTTGTTCATTTCAACTATTTTTTTTGTCCATTTCAACTATTTTTTTGTTCATTTGAACTATTTTTATGTCTATTTGAACTATTTTTTTGTTCATTTCAACTATTTTTTTGTCTATTTGAACTATAATTTTTGTCTGTTTGAACTATTTTTATGTCCATTGAACTACTTTTTTGTTCATTGTAACTCTTTTTTTGTTCATTTCAACTATTTTTTTGTCCATTTCAACTATTTTTTTGTTTATTTGAACTATTTTTTGTTCATTTGAACTATTTTTTTGTTCATTTGAACTATTTTTTTGTTCATTTGAACTATTTTTTTGTTCATTTAAACTATTTTCATGTCCATTTGAACTATTTTTATGTCCATTTGAACTATTTTTATGTCCATTTGAACTTTTTTTGTTCATTTAAACTTTTTTGTTTTGTTTATTTGAACTATTTTTTTGTTCATTTAAACTATGCTTACGTATTTCATTTATAATATCAATAGTTCAAATGAACTGAAAAATAGTTCAATGAGCAATATATTTACTAGTTTGAACTATTGTTCATAATTCAACTACTACGTGGTACCGCGTGCAGTAGTTCAAACGAACAATAGTTCAAATGAACAATATTTCAAACGGGAGTAAATCAAATGAGATAGCATCCTCCCCACGTTCTTTCTTCTCTCTGTCCCATCTTGCGAAAGCAATCCCATGATTGCTGTATGTCCTGGATAACAGGGGTTGTTTGACTCTTCTCTTTGAGGCAGTCACGTTGCCCTGAAGACAATTTAAGTCATATTGCATTGTTTAAATTGATCCAAATCATTTAGGTTGTCTATCGGATCCTCGTAGGATACAAACGGGATATCTCGTTGACTTCTTTTGATCCCTTTGCGTCGTCTCCACTTGGTTTCCCCTTGCTGCTGATTTCTTTGTCGTTTCTATGTTCAGGTAAACTCTGATGCATCCATGTCAATGTCTGGTTCTCAACTGGTATCAAGACCTATATGGTTAGTTGATCGCTCAACCTCAGCTTTGTCTTGGATTTCCATGAACTTGCTACATCCACCAATTGGGCTCGCAGATTAATCCATCTTTGAAAATAGTCTTGTATTCTTAAAATTAAATTTTTTTGATGAATTTGTTTGAAATTTTCGTTCATTTGCATAATTTCCATTGTTTTCGCGAAATTTTTGTATTTTTCGCGAAATTTTGCGTTAGTATTTTGCGAAATTTTCGCATTATTTTTTTGTGATATTTTTCATTTTCTATTTCGCGAAAATTTTGCATTTTTTCATTTTTTCACAAAACAGATTGAAGCAAAATTGTGAAAAAAATGAAAAATTTTGCATTTTTGCAAGCAAGCCAAATGTGAAAAATGAAGCTAAATAGTTGCAAAAAATGCAAAATTTTCGCAAAATCGATTTGTCCTTTTTACATGTCATAATTATTTTCTTTACCTATATCCTTTTTTTTCAACTCATAGAATTTAAGTATAATTGTTGTGATTTTCATTTTCAAAAATGTCTTTTACTTTCTCTACTTTAAATACTAATTATTACTAACAATAAAATGTCGATTTTTTAAGAAACAATTCTATTTTTCTGCTAGTTTTGTTTGAAGGAGAGATAAAGTATAGTACATGCAAGGTAATTGGACTGTGTGTACTGTGTACCTGTAAAGCATCCTTATACTTATGCCTGATTTCCAAGAAGCCAAATGTTTTGCCCTTCCCCTCCAAGATTTATTTCTGTATACGCCCTTGGATGGATCTCCTTCTAGATCTGTAGAATAAGTTATCTTGAGTTCTCCTACTTCATTGTCCACCTGATACTCTTCATTCTCTTCCTTCCTTGGTTCATCTAAGTGATCTGATCTTGATAATACATCTGCGTTCACGTTCTCGATCCCCTTCTTGTGTATCACAATGAACTCCTACTGGGCCAGCTCTGTAAACCAATGTTGAAAAATGAACTCATTAGATCGTAATTAACGATCGTTTTCAAAAACGATTTACAACCCTACATAAGGATGCTTTACAGGCAGAGTAAAAGCTTATACACACCTTGCGTACATATAGATGTATATTTAAATTCATATATAGCCGTTTTTTATAATTAAACCATTACTCTATTTTTTATTCAAATTGACAACGATTGTCTTTTTATTATTTGTAGTTATTAGTTATCACTTATGGATAACTGTTCACAATTTTTATATTTGTTAGTTATTGTTGAGAATTTGTTCAATGTTATCGCTAAGAGAAACCTATAAAAGTCACAAATGCAAACCAGAAAAATAATTAGTGGAGATTGGAGAGGCAAATGAGAAACAAGGTAAATTTGAAATGGCCCTTAAGAAAAGAGTCTTAGCTTTTATAGTAAAGGCTCCACCATATGCATTCCTCTGTCCATTAAATTCAACCAAGGCCAGTGGATTAAAAAATAAACATTTGTATAGATAGATGGAAAGTTGAATAAAGATAGACATATTGATCGATAATCTAGATAGATAGATAGATAAAGTGTATTGCTAAAATACATGTATCTGTGTACAGAACGAGTTTACAATTACAAATTGATGATTATTTTAATTGAAGTATTAAGTAATCAGGTGGAAAATAGCTCTTGGCTGTTTTGATTATTTTATCTATCTTTCTTTTTATGTCACCTTTATAATTCTATGTATCTATTTATCTATTAATCTTTGGATTTGGAAATAATTCATATACATTATGGAATTTAATCAGAATATTTTCAAGCTCCGCTAGCAAACAATAGCGGACTAAAAAAAGACAGCTTAATTAATCATCCGATGACGGAGCTCTACAAAAAGACATTTGTGGATGAGAAAAAGAGTTCTGATCAAAGTAGAAAGTGGAAAGAAAGAAGAATTTTCTATCCTGGGGGGGGGTGTCAAAAATAAAAAGTTTAAAGATCAAGATTATTAAAAAGTAAGAAATTTTTTATTAATATAGTGAAATTAACATACATAAATATATACTTATATATATATATACATAATATATGCATAATGATTGAAATTTTACAGAATAAATGTAGTTAATGTAATTCCACTAATATTCTATCAAAAAAGTGTCCACTCTAAATTGAGACTTTCTTCCCCCCTGTAGTCACCTGTTGTTGAATTTCCATTGTTCAGTGTTTCAATATTAAATTCCCGTGCTCTCACAAGCTAAATAGTAACAAAACTTACCGCTAGAGGTCTCGTAAAGTCTTGTTAGTTTCTTTTCTTCTTTAAAGACATTCAAATATTCAACCACAAGTTTGTTTTTGTTTTCGTGAAAAGCAATCATAGTTTTAAATATTTTATCTTTGATTAGGAAAAAACACTTTTTAAAATCTGAAAGTAATAATTCCGATAACCATTTGGATATAAAAAAATTTATTCCTGCGTAGGTACGATCAACATAATAATTTATGGTATATGGTTCACAAACCTGTGTCAGATTTTAAAATTTACATCTTTAGAAGAACGCAGCTAATTAAGCTGTGTTATAATTCACTTTAGATATACAGCAGAAATCAATAAGTTCTAATCATGCATTCCTGGGCGTTGTAAATGTGATATTAATTAAAGAAATTATTTATTATAATCAGGTTAAGGGCTGTACATGGTCTAGAGGGGGAGGGATAAAAAAATCGGTGTGCTAAGCATGCAAAAAGTTAGAATTTACTCCCCACTAGATAATCCTTATTTACACCCCTGGTTGTAATAGTTGTGTGGTTTAAATAAGTATCTATAAAACGTGTGTTAAGAAGCCAGAAGTTGCCCTCCCCCTTAAAATTGTTTCATGGGGTGTCCCCTCCCCCCCTCTTCCCCCCTGTAGTCACCTGTGGTTGTGCATTGTGCAGTGTTTCAATATTAGACCCCGTACTCTCACAAGCTGAACAGTTCCAAAACTTACCGCTAGAGTTCTCGTAAAGTCTTTTAGTTTCTTTTCTTCTTTAAAGACATTCAAATATTCAACCACAAGTTTGTATTTGTTTTCGTGAAAAGCAATCATAGTTTAAATATTTTATCTTTGATTAGGAAAAAACGTTTTTAAAAATGTGAAAGTGATAATTTCGATAAACATTTGGATATAAAGAAAATAAATTTGTTGTAATAATACAACGCATGTTAGATTAAAAAAATTACATCTTATTTATAGAACGCAGCTCTTTAAGCTGTGTTAATAAAATAAATAAATTTTTAATTTGTAATTCAGCGTGTAAATGTAATGTAAAGTTAAAAATTATTTATTATAATCAGGTTGAGAACTTGAGGGCTATAAAGTCTGAGACTGTTAAAAAGTTTACACAGTTAAATAGAACAGGATTGAATTAAAACGTATTACATAGAATTTAGAAAAAGGACAAAATGAAATAAATATACCAAGGTAAACTAGACAAAAGGAGAACACGGGCAGATGTAGTACATTTGAATTTCCGAGCCGGGTCAACCTTTCCGGTCCCAGTTTGTACTTCACAGGACTAGCCGGTGCAACAAGGTTGACGCAGTAAGACTTTATGCTTCATATAGGCTGAATTTACTTTTACTAAAGGGGCAGATTGACATTGAGAAGGTCAAATTTATGCGACACTAACAGTACGACTTTGTAACCTTGTAGCACTTCTATTTTTGAATTACGCACAAATATGCTGATTACAAATTTATCTGGTTGAAAACATATAAGATTTCAATTAAACGTGCAATATCTTTTAGTTTAACATGGGACATTGGCACTCAAATATCAAAAGTAAACAAAGAAGAAGGGATATTAGCACTTAGCAGGGCAATTAACAAATACAATTACAGAAACAACTGTAGAAATTTACGTTAAAAATTTTAGTTGCTGCAGGACATAAATTGTTTTTACTTTTTTGGATGGAGAAAGCTAGGCATCAGAAAACATTTTAAGATCCAGTTTTTAAAAATGTTTTAAAATAGAACTGCAGTTTTTAGTTTAATAAAACAGAAGTTTCATTTTAATTAACAAGAGGGAAGCTGTATCTTATATTCAACTAAATCCGATAATAGAATTTTTTGTTAGAGCAATGTTTAACCATATTTTTATCAATAGAAATGTTTTCATGTTCATATATATTCCTTTGCACAAAGAGAATATATTTTTATTCAAATACATCTGCATTGAACTTAAGTATAATTCATTTTTTAAAGGCTCATGGTGTGCGAAACATTTTTTATTCCAAGATGCAAATTTATAATGAAGAAATTCTAAGATTTTTTTTTTGTAGAAAATCACTCACCTGACCTCATGAAAGGTTGCACGGTCGACATTTAAAGAAATTACCTCACAGCACATACAATAATGAAAATTGCGACATTTTCTTTATTATTGTGACATGGCATCATTAAAGCCCAGGGGTGGACACAGGGAGGGGCGTAGCCCCCCCATAATTTGGAATTGGAATTTTTTGTTCCTATTTTCAGTATAGCTTCTCAATAGCATGCTTAAGGGAAAGAAACCCCAGTGCAAAACAGGAAAAAAATCTGTCTTAATAAACTATAATGTGTGAAAAGTTAAAAATCTAGTTTTTAGTCTTTAGTCATTAATTTGGACTCTTTTTGAGTCTTTTAAGTCAAAAAAAAGTTTTGCCTCCGAAGCGATTTTTTGTTTCTAATTATGAATTTTTTTGTTCCTAAAAAATCTTGCCCCCCCTCACTTAAATCCTGTATCCGCCCCTGTTAAAGCCTACTTTACACATAATACATATGTACTTGAAGACTGGAGAGTTTCATGTTTTTAAAGAAGATCAAATTAAGAATTAATATTTCTCCCAATGCTTAGCTGGGACTCATCTGGAAAGCTCTTTATGTTTATACCCACGCAAGCAACCTAAAAAGGAAAAGAATAGGATGACAAAAAATAATAAAAATGAATAAATATCATCAACCCGTTTTAATTTTTCCAAAGTTTGGTGAAAAAAATGGAAAAATATTTGTTATTTTAAGAGTTATTTTTACATCTTCTTAAAGTCTTTATATTTTTCCATAATCTCCGATCTCATTCATTTCTAACCGAGATGCCAGGCCGGATGCTTGGTCCAGGTACAATTTAAAAATATACAAGTTTTACTAAAATATTTAAAACTAGCTGAAGTGCCCGACGTTGCCCGTGGAATTTTACAAAACACTTGGAAAATTTTTTCGAATTTTTGAGAAAAAATTTAGATTTTTGAAAAAATATTTTTTGATTTTTGAAAAAAAAAAATTTTATTTTTGGAAAGAAAAGAATTTCGAATTCTTTTGGTTTTTTTCCCACGGGGGGCCGGGGGTACTCAAGGGTTCCCTCAAAAATTTTCAGTCTAGGCGTTTGGCCGACTATAGCTGACATATAAATAAATATACATACTAATATACTATGAGCAAAGAGCTTGATTATAAAGATAAAAAATAGATAATTTTACACAGTAAATATAATATCATTTTCCATAATGATTACAATAAAAATTGACAATTTGCAATATATTTACAATAAAATAGACACTTTTCCAATATAATTGCATGCAAAAAATTATATTCTTCAGAATGATTACAAACAAAAAAAGAAAAAAATAGTTATTAAATAAAAAATTACAAAATTGCAAAGGAAATTTAAAATTACTTATAATATATATACACCAATATTACCAATAACATTACCATTGACAGTTATCAAATTATTACAAAAAAATAGTTTTCTATATAATTTCATCAATAACAGAAATATTATAGTGTATAAAAAATAATAAATACTAAAATACGTAATCATAAATTTAGGTCTTTGGTTTGTATTTCTCGCAGGGTTCTTGTTGGCTGATGCTCAGGGGTAGGGTATTTGAAGGGTATTTGAAGGGTATTTGAGGGGTTTTTGAAGAGTACTTTGAAGGTTACTTTGAAGGGTATTTGAAGGGTATTTGAAGGGTACTTTGAAGGGTATTTGAAGGGTATTTGAAAAGTACTTTGAAGGGTATTTGAAGGGTATTTGAATGGTACTTTGAAGGGTACAAGCTCCCTATAAATAGTGGGTCATTTGAAATTACCTCTAAATTCCAAATAACTTTCCATTGATAGAGCTGTAGGTCTGATTCACGGTTCCCTTTGAACCTTTACCAGATCAATCATTTGGAATATATCATCGTTTTATGGTTTGAGATGAGTTTATTTTTTAACAATTTTCTCACTTGTTTCAATAACAACAATCTGTCAGTCACTTTTTTAAGTTAAAAACATGGATATCAGATTTAAAAATAAATCTAAATCTTGCAACACTTTTAAGGGTTCTTTAGTGACTTAAACATAAAATAAAAATAAAAATTTTGATTAAAGATTTATAAACTGTAAAATAGGCTCCTGGGTACTTTGATTTGAGAACTGAGAAGCGAGCTTATATGCCGGTCTTCTGGAAAATGTTGGAATCGATCAAATCAAATAATAAGGTATATTTAAAAAACAACATGTATAGTAAGTCACATTATTGACATGGAGACTTGAGATGGCAGGTACCGTTGTGAATTGGTCTTGACAATCTTTTTCTGGACTTGAAAATACGTTTACAATTTCTATTAACCCCATTTGGCCTGAAGGGGGGGGGGGGGGGTAAATTTGACTCCCCCCTATAATCATTTTGCTATAACTTAAAAAGTATTTTCGCTAGAAAGCTCAAATTTTCTGGCTTTTCTTACTAACCCATGCCGCTCTCTACAGAAAGCTAAAAGCTGTGCTTTTATACCCACTGCCTGAATCCTCTTTGGAAAGCCTTTAACAAAAGCAAGCATACTGTACAAATTTTGCAAAGAAATTTTGCACACATTTTTGCACAGACATTTTTAAAGAGAATTTGCACATTTTCCGTTTTTTCTTGATTAAACATTTAGGTTTTAAAATTTTTGCAAATTTGCCATTTTTTTATATTGTTGAAGTAGAACCCAAGGGCTTTCCATAAACGTATCAAATGTTATAGATTTCTTATAAAAATAAAGTAAGAAAATAAAGGGGGGGGGGGTCAATTTAATTCCCCTTCCAGGCAGCCAGTCGGTAAACCAGAAGTGTTTTTTTCAAAAAAACATTTTTAAAGCTTGTTTATTAGAATGATGACGATCTACCGGGTGTCAAGAAAAGAATGTATTTCCCAGCTTTCCTGAAAGAGCTGAGCAACATCAGGAAAAAAGAGGTTGGTGCATGTGGCAGCAACGCTCGGCCCCCTAGCCGCAGCGCTCGGCCCAGAAAGTGTCTTAACTAATCTATCCCGTTGCCGCCACGCACGGCCCCCTAGCCCATCCTAGCCGCAGCGCTCGGCCCAGAAAGTGTCTTAACCTAACCTAACCCTAAATAACAAAAAAATAAAAAATAATAAATACTAAAATACGTAATCATAAATTTAGGTCTTTGGTTTGTATTTCTCGCAGGGTTCTTGTTGGCTGATGCTCAGGGGTAAGTGACCCCCCCCCCCTCCCATCTGGATAAAATCCTGTATAGACCCCTGTAAGAATACTATCTAATCGATATGTCAGTGGCCGTTCCTTCCATAAACTACATTGGTCGACAACTTGGCGTCTCCTATATTGGTCGTCAGTGTACGGAGAAATTATCTATCTATCAGAATTTAACATGAGACATCTCGCGGCCAACACATCGTCTCCCAAAGTACGTGAACTACACGACCAATATCTTTAGAGAGAACGGGGTCTGAGCCCGAAAAAGAAGTTTACCGAGTTTTCTCTTTGGGCTATGGAGGCCATGCATTTGCGTAGATTTTAATTTCATAAATCAGAAAACAAAAAGTGAATGTAACGAAACCACATAAAATAATATTTCTAAACACGAATATTGGTATCTCCAAACCTGCCTGACCCCATTCATGAAACTGTGTTTTATTACGATGCTGTAGAAAATATTGCATACTCTATCCAAAGCGCGTATACGGGGGGGGGGGGGGGCTAATGGGGCAAATCCCCCCCCCCAATGGATCAGTGAGATCAAGAGGAGTTTCTGGCCCCAATAAATTTCCTTTAATATCAGATTAGTTATTAGATAGAAAGAAAACTTGGTTTAGAGAACTAGGGTTTAGACATCCTTGTTAAAAACTTGCAATGCTCATAATGACACTTCTGGCATATATTTGTATTTAAAACCCTAAAGAATTGTTTCATTTGAAGTACAACTACTACCTTCAAAGAAAGTAAAACAGCAAAACCATTAAAAACTTTAAAAAATGAAGGGCGGAACCATCAAAAACCAAACTACGAATAAATACAAAAACAGAAGTCTGATTGGCGAACATATATTATATATGTTCAAAAAATCGATCCGAAAAATTGTTCAATAAAATTGCAGGTTTGTTTTTAATTCGAGTTTTTTTTCGCATAAATTTTCTTTCCGGGTTAAAATGGTTTCCTTCTAAATATTTATTTTAATAATTTACAATTTTTTTTATTTACAGAATACTGTTTTTAAATGTTTGAAGTTTTCTATAAACTTTTTAGAAGAAACCAAACCATATAAATCTACTTTTTAACTTCGGTAATATATTTTAATTCTTCAGAGTAAGTTTAAGATTTTAAAAATTTTGGCTTTGATTGGAAAAAAGTGGGTCGTCTTCGGTATTTTTTTATGGATAATAAAATAAATCTGTCCTTAAACTGTTCAATTTACAGGCATATTCAAGGCCATCAACCTGCCAGAGGTAAGATTTAATTCAAAAAAAAACCTAAAGGGACTGTAATCGTAATTTCAAGAGAACCTCCATGCAAAAATGACAATGCCCGGTTCACTGCCCATGTTTTAATTAGGTTAACCCGCGGGCTCTCTTCAAACGGGACCTGTGCATTTCTACTGCAGGAAAACATATAGAAATTAACAGACTTAAACACTTTTAATGCTAGAAATACGACGATGTTCTATATTCAAAGAGAATAGAATATATATTAGAGGGGAATTTACTAGAAAAAACTGTAAAACGGCCATTTTGTTTTACTGTTTCCATACTGCAGGGGTACTTCACATATTTATGCTATATAACGTTTTGGGCCCTGGAATATCATTCTATAGAAAATCTAAAATTAATATTAAAAGAAAACCAAATTATGAAATAGGCTGGTTTCATAATTGACCAATGATCATTTCACGTAGACTCTATGCCTTTCACTTTACAAACGATGATTTTCCGTTATAACTATAAATCAAATGATTTTTTTTATTCATCTAATTCATTATAAAGTTTATTTAAAAGCTTTAAAAATTCGAAATTGAAATGGATAGTCTAGGGAACATACTGTATTAATGTACTCTACTGCATATAATTTGTGAACATTTACATGATTTGTACACTTTGAACTCCCTTTCAGGCTGAAAGGGACTGAAAAAATTCATACCGAAGGATTCTCTAAATTCCCCTCTAATATATATTCTTTTCTCTTTGCCTATATTATTGATTTGATAAAAGTTTCAAAGGTACGGTTGTCAATCGGGCATTAAGCAATCTGTCCATTGAGGGTCACTTGAAATTACGCTGAGAGTCCCTTTGGAAAAATATAAAAAAAATTCATGATGTTTATAATTTTTACTTTTGTTTTCTTGAACTATAAGAAAGTGTATCATGAATCTTACATTTTTGATTATAAAGCAGATGTACTGCAGTTCCTGAGCCCAAAACTTAAGACATCGTTATGAAAACCAGTTGTAAAACCCGGGTTTCGCGAATGGAGTTGCAGGCAGTTTTGTGAATATCAATACTTTTGTATTAAAATATTATTTTTTTCAATTTGTTTATATTCTCCATTTTTTTCGAATCTCTTAAATCAAAATCTACACAAATGTTAAGACCCCAAAAAAGGAAACTCGGGAGTTTCGTTCAACGATACTCTTTTAAATGGGCTCTTGGAAGCATGTTAAAAAAAACTCAGCCTAGGCATCACTAATTTTGTTTTCATTCCTCCCAGAAACTGCAGTACACTGTACAGTGTACACATCATCTTTGGGAAGTTCCTCAAATATTCCTTCATTTAAATTCCTCTTGCATATACTGCAGTACACTCTAATATGAAAACAAAAAAGTGTATCTTACTAAAAACACTGTTAAAAAAAACCTTATCATGTTCGTATAATAACTAAAATTACAGATAACATTTTGATAGAAATTTTAAACAAGATATCAGGGATATCTCACAAGTTTTGAAATCCCGTGAATTCTTATTTTTAAATGATTTCTTTTAACAATGGAAAGATGTTCCCCGAAATGGTGGCGGTGTACCGGCTTATCTACCTAAACTTGAAGCAGTGCATAACTTAGGTAATTATTTGGTTTGGAGGATTTTCAGATATTTGCTTTGGAGATTTTCAGATATTTGGTTTAGATGATTTAGACATTTGGTTTGGGTGATTTGGATGTTTGGTTCAGATGATTTTCAGATATTTGGTTTGGAGGTGTTTAGATATTTTGTTGGTTGATATTTAGTTATTTGAAATATAGATATTTTGATTTAATTTAGATATTTGGTTTGGAGGTATTTTGAAATTTGTTTGGAAATATTAAAATATGCTACATATATTAAAATCTTCGAAAGACCTATTTTTAATAAAATTTTTTTTTATAGATGTCACGCCCATGAATACAAAGGAGAAGCAACCATACTATAAAATGCGTTTGAGGAAAAAAATTAACTTATCAATATTTTTTTTATGCAGTTTTGTTATCAAAATAATACTTAAACCCTGTCCCTATCCCGATTGTGATTCCACCCATGCTTCTGCTTCTTTTCCCCATACCTTAATATGGCTTGCACTACAACGTTCAAAATTTGTCGCTTTTCCAACATAATTTTGAAAAAAAACTTTTCAAAGCAAACGGTGGGATAAAGGGCGGCCTAAAAGCCCCCTATTCTCAGTCCCCCCACCCCCCGACCTATAATAGACGAAAACTACCCAACCGGGATAGTGTCTAGTTTTTTATTTCATAAAAATGAGCAAATTAATTTTTTTTGTACGTGGATAACAGACTTCATAAAAGGGTAATTTGGTTAAATATCTATTATCTAAGCTTTTTATTTTGCATTGATGATTGCAATATCATTATTTTTAAAGTTTTAAACAATATACAAAACAAAGATTAACCTGTCAGGATGTGGTTGAGCTGCAGGCTGAAAAAAGAAGATACACACCTCCCCTGGAAAGCTTAAAAGAAGAGCTTGCCCAACCACTGCAGGTAAATAAACTTTTAAAGGGACTGTAAGCGTAATTTCAAGGGACCAATAGCTTTCCATCCAAAGATTGCAATGTCTGATTTACGGTAGCCTTGAAACCTTAATCTGATCTAGAAACTGAATTGTTTAAAGAAAATGAATATTTTATTCATACATCATCAGACAAAGCTTTTAAGGTTATCGTTGTAAATCTGGCATTGTCATCTTTGCCGGGAGGGTAACTTGAATTTACGTACACAGTCCCTTTAACTAGAATTAACCTTTGAGCATTTCTGAGAAAAATTTCATGGCCAGCTCAAAGAAAAAAAAATTAGACCGATAACTTTAATAGTTTGGGTGCTAGGGAGGGTGGGAAAAAATGCCTAAAAAAGGGTAAAAAAATGAAAAAAATATTTTTTTGTTTTAAACAAATATCATAGTGTAACACATATTTCTACATCCACTTTTCAAGGGCTTTTCTAAAATATAGTTTTTAGATCTGTAGCTTTAGTCACAAAAAAGTTATGGGCTATTTTCGATTTTTTTTTTCACACCCTTTAAATAAAAATAAAATATTTTTTAACAAAAAATCCTTTAAATCACTATTCATTTCACAATGATAGTGTCCAAAATGAGAGTGCTAGGACAAAAAAACTTCAGGGGGGGCGGCGCCAAACGTCCCTCCAGTCTGTTTAGGGTTAACTAATAAAGATAGAATGTTTTCTGTCTGCAAAATAAATACATTTTGGTAAATTTTCTTCTTTTTCCCTCTGCTGCATAACCTCACAAGTCATTTAAAAAGATAAATTTGAAAATGATGAATTTTCAATTAGAAATACTTTTATTCAGCTGGAGGATCATTCAATTTTAATTCAGAGTCATTAATTTACAAAAAAAAACTATATTATTTAATCAATACATTTTTTTTTACAAAAGTCTACTTTATGGACATTTTCAATAAACTAGGTCTTTTAAGTTGGATACTTTACAGTAATAATATCATAGAAGCGGAATGATAATTTGATTCTGGGATAAAACTAGAATTACTGCAATATATTTTGTAATTTGAAGTTATGTGGGTTTATCAGAACTTTCGTATTGTGAATCAAGCATTTACCTCAATTTAAGGCTGATTATTATAATTCCACTTCTATATCCAGGGGTGGTCATACCCCGCATATATAGTGTACATCTCTGTTACAGTTTTGATGCACGAATTTAACATTTAATTGACATGTAATTTGACATTTGGCGCATTTTGAGTATTTGCATGTGCACCACGATTGACGCATTAAATACGGAATTCACGCAACGATTTTTTAATTCCTGCATGTAAACCAACCCTACATTGAAGTAAATCAACCCTACATTGAAGTAAACCAACCCTACATTGAAGTAAACCAACCCTACATTGAAGTAAACCAACCCTACATTGAAGTAAACCAACCCTTCATTAAAGTAAAGTTACAGATAAAGGGCGGGAGTAGAGAAGGACAAGAACTAAACAGTATCAGACCATTTTTTCAACGCTATAACACAATGAAGGTAACCCCCCCCCCCGTATTGTTTAGTTTGAAATAGCGATGGGTTTCGTTTTTGTTAACATACAAATTTTTAAGAACAAACAATATTTTTCGTGAACGATGTTGTCGTTCAGAAGAAAACGAACAATGCACAAACTCCACATGGTTCGTTCAGAAAGAAATAAAAAAATTAACGAAAAAAACAAAAACAAACGATTAAAAAAACATTGGAACAAAATTATCCTTTTTTACTGAAAGGACAATTTTATTGAAAAGCAATTTTTCTAAACTAACAGAATCGGAGACATCTTATGAAATTATAAAATATCGTTATCTAAATCATACATGATATGAAAAGCTGGAGATATTATAGTTTTAATTTAATAATTGTATGGAGCTCTTACAAAAATAGTCCTGCTTATTTCATGACTATTTATTAATTTATACAATTATAATGATATTTAGGTATAATGCTATAACATTTTTTATTCTCTTGATGTCTCCATAGCTCTGGGTTAAATTGAATCTTTTTTAAGAATGACCATGATGAGATGATGATCATTGAGAAAAGGGTTGTCATGCCCGCGTTCTGGAAAATCATGGAAGAAATTAAATCCAATAATGAGAAAAGGGTTGTCATGCCTGCTTTTTGGAAAATCATGAAAGAAATCAAATCTAACAATGAGGAAAGGGTTGTCATGCCCGTTTTCTGGAAAATCATGAAAGAAATCAAATCCAATAATGAGAAAAGGGTTGTCATGCCCGCTTTCTGGAAAATCATGAAAGAAATTAAATCCAATAATGAGAAAAGGGTAGTCATGCCTGCTTTTTGGAAAATCATGAAAGAAATCAAATCTAACAATGAGAAAAGGGTTGTCATGCCCGCTTTCTGGAAAATCATGGAAGAAATCAAATCCAATACTAAGGTAAGCGAGCTGGGCATGGATTTAATTAACAAACCTGCAGTTTGTGAATGAAAAAAGACACATTTTTAAAAAAATGTCTTCTTCAATAACAACAATTAAGGAAACACACAAACGAAAGAAGTAGTTACGAGTTCCATTGTTCAGGATGAAAACGGTTTGCATGTCACAAAAAGAATTTTTATGCCAACAATCTGGAAAATGATGGAACAAATGCAGAGAGAAAGCATGGTAACTTTTTTTTTACAGAAAACAACGTTCCTATATGTATTTTTAAATGAAAATGTTTTTTTTAAGCCATGAAAAGAGTTATTATTTCAGCAATTGATGGAGCAAAATGAAATAGTTAATGATTAAAATGAACTCTTGAAGGTCATAACTATCCTCTAAGTCTTTTAAGGATGAAGATGGTTATGTCACAAAAGGATTATTTGCACCTGGAGTTTGGAAACTGATGGAAAAAATGCAGAAAGATACCAAGGTAAGAAATTAAAATGTTTAAAGAAGGGTTTCCACTAAAAAAAAATTGTGTAAAATTTTGCGCAGTTCCATGCAAATTCCCTGGCAAAAAATTCCGCAAAATGTGCATGAAATTCCAAAATTTTGCACGATCTCAAATTTTGCAGAAGCAAAAGAAAAAGACTTGCAAAAAAAGTTTACTCAACATGGCACACATTTTTTTTACTTCATAATCTTTCCTTGCTCTTGTTATGCGAATAATGGCTTTTGTTTCAGGAAATTAACACTTGACATGCAATTTATACGCAATTTGCGCACATTTATTGGGTTTAATCATTCTGCGCAATTTGCGCATTTGATATGCACAGAAAATATGGAATTTGCAAGCACGGATTATTTCATTCTTTTTTCTCAACCCAATTTATTCCTTTGTTCCTTTTTAGAATGAAAATACTTTTTGAGTCATGAACAGAGCAATATGGATATAACGGAGCAAATGCAAAGGGAAAAGTTATGGTTATTGATAAAAATCACGCGTTTTATGGAAAATAGCGCTTCATTCCCTATTTTTTAGAGTGACGATGCTGTACATGTGATAAAAAGAGTTTTTATGCCAGCAATCTGGAAAATGATGGAGGAGATGCAGAAAAATAAACAGGTCTTAACTTGATAATTTACTTGCTGATAGGGTTTCCAATCGGAATTCCGTTGCGCAAAATTGCGCGCAGCTGTTCTCGTATTGCACGTAACTGTTCTCATATTGCGCGCAACTGTTCTCGTATTGCGCGCAACTGTTCTCGTATTTCGCGCAAGTAAAATCCACTTGCGTTGAAACCCTACTACGTAAACATTTGAACCAATGCTGGACAAAACTGCAGCTCCGACTCGCTACTGCGGTATGCTTCCAGCTCGAAGGGCCCCATAGCTCAGACAGTGAAGATTTAGGTACCTCCGTCCTATAGTTGGCCCTCGCGCTGAAGTATACTTGCAATTAGGGCTGGGCATAGTCAAACTATTATTAAGCCCTTTGTTAACGGTTAGTTTAAAGGGACCGTTCACTTATTTGGGTAATTTCAGGGTAAACTAAACAGCCTATTAACTATTTATTGATATTAGTCTTACTTTTCAAAGACAACTGTGGCCAGAGAAAAAGCAAATTTATCATTCAGAATTCCAGTGCAAAGGTATGATATCTTTGCAGACACTATTTGATGCTTTTTGACATAGTCATGGATTAAAAGAAATTTTCAAATATTAAATTAAATTGAATGTCTTCTTCCATATACTGTATTAGATATTAAAGACTTTAAAAATCTTTTACTCAAATATATTTTACGTTGGAATTAATTTTACTTTAAGATGACTCACATACAATATTTTTTATTATTCTTTTTGGTCTCAAACAACTTAACAAATTATTCGAAGACATTTTAAACTATTCACCGATGTCATGTTTCTAGGGTCACCCTGCATCTAATAGTTAATTGTAGATATCTTTAATTTTTTAAAAATTATTTTAACTTATCTAATTTCAAAATATAACTTATTTTTAACATTTGACGGTTTGATACGTTTTCTCAACTTCCCCAGAAATCCCCGTGATTTATTGAAGAAATGAAATCTAGGAACCTGTTTGTCTGAGAGAGAAAGTCGTCTTTGTATTAACCCTATTCCCGCTGGGGGGGGGGTCAATTTGACCCCCCCCTGTAGTTTTTTTTACATAACTCAAAAAGTATTGGTCTGAGGCTGTTGAAATTTTCTGACTTTTCTTACATACCCAAAGCCCTCCCTTTAGGCCTAAAACCGGGCTTTAATACTAACTGCCTGAGTCCTCAGGCACACTGCCTGAATGACTGCTTTTGCCTGTAGCAAACTAAATCTTTGTTTTGACCCACTTTCACTTGTCAGATTTTGATAAAATTTAGCTTTTTGGAAAGCCTATGACATAAGGAAACGGATTGCACAAGTTTTGCGAAAAAAAAATTGCAAATTTTTTGCAAAAAACCTGTCAAAGAAAATTTGCACATTTTTAGTTTTTCTTGATTAAAAATCAGGTTATTTAAAATTTTGCAAAAATTTTTGCATATTTGAAATGGCATGGTCAAGGGCTTTTCAAAAATGTATAATTTGTCATTTTTTGGACAAATTTTTTTTTGCAAACATTTTTACTATAAAACTGGATTTTGCGATAAAAAATTCAATTTTCGCAAATTTGCAAATTTTTTTTGCAGATTCTAAAAGTAGAGCACAAGAGCTTTCTAATGATGTATCATTTGTCATATTTGGACATAAAACATGGGATTTAGAGGGGGGGGTCAAATTGACCCCCCCCCCCAGCGTATCCTGGTTTTCAAGTACCCCAGCGGAGATAGGGTTAAACGTGTATATTTGTTAAATCATGTTTGAACATGAAAAACGTTAATTTAATTCTAAAATCAAAAGTTTTATATTTTATTGTATAATGGCTGACATTTTGGATTTTATTGGGCTGTTGTTACTGAAAAAAACGTTAAAATAGTTTCTTTTCAAAGGTATCATATCTTTCCAACCGGAATTCTGAACGATAAATTGTCTTTTTCTCTGGTCATAGATATCTTTGAAAACTAAGACTAAAACCAAGGAATAGCTTACAGGCTAATTAGTTTACCATGAAATTATCCAAATAAGTGAACGGTCCCTTTAAATACATAGTTTACTGTTAACAATTTGTTTGTTTTTCTTTAAAGCTCCTTTTATCAACGATTTTAATTTTAACGGAAGATATTTTAGGATTTTTTCTTTTCTTTTTGTTTATTAACAATTTTGTGTTTTTTTGCATGTCCTTAACCGAAACTTCAGAAGTTTAAAAAACTTGCCGATTATCACAGAATGTTGCGCAGTCCATGCTACAATGCAATATTAATACTATTTTACTGAAAACTCCAACAAAACCAGCTGTAAACCAGCTGTAAACCAGCTGTAAACCAGCTGTAAACTTTGTTTGAGCTACGACAATGGTTTTATATAATATCCCACGGAACACCTCTTCCAAATGTTTAAGAGACAGGGTAAAGAAATTATTTGCTGGGTAAAAATAATGCATCTCCAAGGTGCTTAAATTAATTACATTTTTACCTGTAAATTTAGAGATGGACGAGTTCGGGTTTTTTAATTTTATTTAATGTTCGTTAGTTTTTTTAATCGCTCAAAAAACTGATTTAATTTGTTTTCAAAATTATCGTTCATTTTCCACACATTTCGTTTGTTTCTCACTAAACGGCCTTTCAGTAAAATTGTCCGTTTAGTAAATTCGTTCGTCCCTTTGTTCGTTGTTTCATTCGCGAAAAATTTCTTTCGTTCAGAAAAACAATGCCCATCACTATACTTATTAGTAAACTAGTATTGAATACAATTCTGAGTTCATGAATTTTCATCTTCTGTTCAAATTTATAACTATAGCATATTTTATGTAAATAATAGTATATCTGTGTTACAAGGGTGACAGTGAAATAAATGTTAGTAAAAGAAGATGGACTTTGCCCCTGCATTGGAAAAGACTGAAAGAAATGCGCTTGAAAAAGAAGGTAATTCAAAATTTTGTAAATCTTGCATTACAGGCTCCTCTTTAGTCCGGGGGGTATTAGTTCCAAAACCTATTTCTAACACTGTGTGTTAGAAATGGGCCAAATATGCAAAGTTATCTTTTTCAAGTGTATATATCTTTAAATCTAAGTCGAGTAGAACAAAATTACACCATAATTTATAAAAAATGGCTAAAACTGTATATTGAAACAGTAAATTTCTAACACTCAGTGTTAGAAATGGGCAAAGTGTTGGAACTAATGTTCCCTGTAGTCTGTTTGTTTACAATATTTTCGACAAGCATGTGGAAACTTAGAGAATGACGTGCCGTTTTCGTAAGACATGTCGTCTTCTTGAGACATGTCGTCTTCTTAAGACATGTTCTCGTTCATTCGAAAATTTGTTTTTACATGGAATTTTTCCTAATGTGGTCTGCTATTTTGGGCCTTAAAATTGACTGGTTACGTACGTGTCTTATGTTCTATAGAGTTTAACTGATATCAAATATCTCATAAGCCTTTCAAACTTGATTCTCTAGGTTCGGATCGTAGTATGGATCAATAAATTAAAGACGACTTTCGATTTAAATTTTTATTTCTACCAAGCTTTCAAACAGAAATGGACTCACTTAGACATATTAACACAGAGAAGCTTTCAATTTACTGCTTCTCTTTTTTAGTTTGTAAACTTGTATTTTAAAATCTTGTTAAAATAAAAACTGGAATAGTAAAAATCGTCTTCATTGTATCCCCTGCACTGTATATTAGCCATTGAATATAAATATTTCCATAATTTATAGCTAATAGAGCTGGTTTGTATGACTCTCTTTTTTAAGGAACAACAGAATCATGAAGAAAATATTCAGGTATTAAAGGGACTATAAGCGTAATCTTCAGTGACTCTTCATTTCATATTGGGGGTTACTTATCAAAAATGCATGATTTCTCTTTCAAAATTGATTGTTTACATTTGTGGATGCTCTATAAAATTTTTTTAAACACAACGATATCTTCCACATTACTGATGACAAAACAGGTTTAAAGGTATCATTTCAATCAAACTTGGCAGTTTTAAAATGGAAAGTCATTTGCAAAAACGTCTTCAGTGCTTTTACTGATATTGAAGAAAACTATGATTTTGATAAAACACTATAAAATAATACTATATATACTATATTTACTCTAACCTCGTCGAATAATACCTAGGGTAAGGGTTACTTTGATTTGATGACAGAGAAGCGAGCGTATATGCCGCCAATGCACGCATTCTGGAACATGATGCAATTAAACAATCCCAAGGTAAATGTTGCAGAAATCACTTTTATTAAAAATCCACAATTTGGAAACTAATTAATTTAAGGCTAGAACAACAATGATATTTTATTTATCTTTGATCAAACAAAGATTTGAAGGGTAATTTGAAGGTTATTTGAAGGGTATTTTGAAGGGTATTTTAAGGGTTTTTGAAGGGTATTTGAAGGGTTCTTTGAAGGGTATTTAAAGAATATTTTAAGGGTACTTTGAAGGGTATTTGAAGGGTATTTGAAGGGTATTTGAAGGGTATTTGAAGGGTACTTTGAAGGGTATTTGAAGAGTACTTTTCAGGGTACTTTTAAGGGTACTTTGAAGGGTACTTTGAAGGGTATTTTAAGGGTATTTGAGGGGTTTTTAAAGAATACTTTGAAGGTTACTTTGAAGGGTATTTGAAGGGTATTTGAAGGGTATTTGAAGGGTATTTGAGGGGTTTTTGAAGAGTACTTTGAAGGTTACTTTGAAGGGTATTTGAAGGGTATTTGAAGGGTACTTTGAAGGGTATTTGAAGGGTATTTGAAAAGTACTTTGAAGGGTATTTGAAGGGTATTTGAATGGTACTTTGAAGGGTACAAGCTCCCTATAAATAGTGGGTCATTTGAAATTACCTCTAAATTCCAAATAACTTTCCATTGATAGAGCTGTAGGTCTGATTCACGGTTCCCTTTGAACCTTTACCAGATCAATCATTTGGAATATATCATCGTTTTATGGTTTGAGATGAGTTTATTTTTTAACAATTTTCTCACTTGTTTCAATAACAACAATCTGTCAGTCACTTTTTTAAGTTAAAAACATGGATATCAGATTTAAAAATAAATCTAAATCTTGCAACACTTTTAAGGGTTCTTTAGTGACTTAAACATAAAATAAAAATAAAAATTTTGATTAAAGATTTATAAACTGTAAAATAGGCTCCTGGGTACTTTGATTTGAGAACTGAGAAGCGAGCTTATATGCCGGTCTTCTGGAAAATGTTGGAATCGATCAAATCAAATAATAAGGTATATTTAAAAAACAACATGTATAGTAAGTCACATTATTGACATGGAGACTTGAGATGGCAGGTACCGTTGTGAATTGGTCTTGACAATCTTTTTCTGGACTTGAAAATACGTTTACAATTTCTATTAACCCCATTTGGCCTGATTATTATATTGTTATATTGAAAAGCCTAATTTTTTTCATTTTCATAATTATCAAAAGAAAAGCTCGAAATTTACTTTTTTGAGTTGAACTGATTTTTTGATTGAACACTGTAATCCTGAACTATCTTTGAGGGAATAAATAGGCTTATAATTGTGATCCTAAGTTCAAGAATTAAAATATAAACTTAATTTTATAAATTTAAACTGTAAACTGAATTTCAAGTGACCCTCCGTGCAAAAAAGGCATAATGCCCGATTTACAACAGTACTACTTCTTTAGTTCTCAAAGAGCAACAAGAAATGCGCAAGTTAATTTCACAGATAAACTGGAAATGAAAATAAAGAAACATTAGGATATCTAAATAATGTAAACTTGACCAGACAAAGCTTCGGGCGTTGCAATCTTCGCGTGGAGGGTCACTTGTAATTACGCTTACAACCTATTTAACATGAATGTTACGTTAAGGCTGAAAGGCTTCAAGAACAGATGCATTTTTTGAAGCCTTGGGCGCAGGGTTTAAACCTTATGAACCCACAGGATGATTTTACTGCCGCAACTGAGACTGAATCTGGAGCTAACTCTGAGTATGACAGATATTTAAAGATATTTAGAAAAAGTGTAAATTTGAAATCCTGTTTTGCACCTAATTTTAGCTAAAATGTGATTTTATTCTTTTTAGAATTGGCGATAAATGATTCAACCAAGAACAGGAGAAACGAGAAAAGAAGAAAAAATGCTGAAATTTGAAATTAAAAATGCACACATTCTTATTTTGATATTATGATAATTAGTTTTGATAATTTAACTTTTTAATCTTAAAATTGATAAAAATTAAGATTAAAGAGGAGGAGTTGAATTTTCCAAACTGAAATTGTAATAAATCCTTTATCAGCTGTAGATGTAATAAATCCTTTATCAGCTGTAGATGTAATAAACCCTTTATCAGCTGTAGATGTAATAAATATGAACAAATGATGAACTTTAAACATCTTGCAGTTAAGAAGTAGTGTTTAGGACTTGAAAATTAGTGAATCACGGAATGACAACCCAAATTTCTACATTTTATCCAAAAAAATTTAATTATTTTGTTACTACATTCCCGTTTTTGTTCATGTATCCCATACGCACGGGGACTAAAATAATTTAAGTTTTCCAGGCTTATTATATACAGGGTTGAACAAAAAGTATGAGACTTCATGGAGACGATTTGACAGGACTTATTCTGTACTTATATTTACGATCATCTTCAACTATATAAGCTTGATACTTTGTTACCTTTATACCTTTATATAGGCTAACTGTATGCATATATCATTAAAAAATGACCTACTTTACACATGAATTAAGCCTTACCCCAAACTCTAATCTTCTAATACCCATATCTTTGAAACTTGATATTATACACCTGTTATATTTCAAACTTAGATTATTTGATATAACAATATTAATTGTTGGAAATACACCTGTTATATTTCAAACTTAGATTATTTGATATAACAATATTAATTGTTGGAAATACACCTGTTATATTTCAAACTTAGATTATTTGATATAACAATATTAATTGTTGGAAATATCTAAGGTCTACGACATTGAGTTGCAAAGATACAAAGATTAGAAAATCAGAGTTTGTGGCGAAGACTCAATTAGTTTGACTTTTTGGGGATTTAAATTAAGATGTCTATAAAATTAAATTAAATTCTTCCTTCTTCTATATTTTCAAGTTTCTTAGACATTACACGTAACACATATGACAACATTTAAGGAAGAAATAAATATTTAACAAACGTCTAGGTTTAACTTTAGTCAATAATATCGTTGATATATTCCCCGCTTTCCCTCTTGTTCAAGTATATATATACATCTATATACCTGGCCAAGCAGTTAGGCAGTAGTATTCTTGGTTTAAACAAAACCTCCGGGTTTAGTTCAATAATCTATTTATAGCTAGTTTTGATGTTCATGAAAAGCAGAAACCATGTTAAAAACATATTTGATCTCAGCAAGATGAAGAAAAACAAATTCACATTTTCAAAAAACCAAATAATTTTAGAGCTTTTCAAAATTAGTTTTTTTTGTACACTTTAACAACCGCAATCTCCAGCTTTAATTAGTGAATAAAGAAAGTTTTCAGAAGCAAATACTTGTGGTGACCGACTACAAACCAATCCATCGTTTCTGTAAACAAACTAAATTTTTCGTAAACGATGGTGTTCAACGATGGATTGTTCAAAGAAATGAAAAAAACTATTATTTTTTTTTTAAAGAATGATAATCGAATGATTTAAATCGTTCGAACAAATTTGAAAAAAACTATCATTTTTTAATGAACGAACTAGTTTTCCAAAAGATTAAAAAGTTAGGTTTTTTACTGAACGAACGATTTTTTGGAACAGACTTTTGAAAAATGATTGTTTTTTTACTGAATGAACGATATAATTGAACAAACGATTTCACTGAAACATCGTTCACTGAGAAAATGAACGAAATAGATTGAAAACGAACGATAATTTTGATTGAACTAACGAAATGGGTCGTTAAACGATCGTTATTTGTTTCGTTTTTCAATCGTTTTCAAAAACGATCGTTTTTAAAAACGACCCACTCGTTTTGAACTTTAAAAAACGAATAACGATCGTTTTAGAAACGATCGTTTTTTATAAAAGCGATTTGTATCGTTTTTTACGATTTTTTTTTAAAATGATCGCTTTTGAAAAAACGATCGTTAAATTGTTGAAATTTATTTTAACGATCGTTAACGAAGGGTCGTCGTTAACTATCGTTAATGAAGGTTCGTCGTTAACGATAGTTACTGAAACGACGGTTTTTATAAAAACGATCGCTGTGATAAACGATCGTTTTATAAAACGACCATTTTTAAAGACGAACTTTTTGAAAAACTATCGTTTCGTTTTAGATTTTTTGTCGTTGTTTTCATAACGAAACGATCGTTTTTCAAAAAATAAAAACGTTAACAGCCTTATAAATATATAGCTAAACTTCAAGGCCCTTCAAGTTCAAAAGTTGTCGCAGTAGATTTCGAGATCAAGTTTTGTACACTGTATTTCCAAAAGCATCCTTCCTGGTAAGTATTTCTCAGCAGTTTAACTTCCTTGTGTATTATTCTATAAGTATGCAGTACACAATATATAACTGCAAGAAGGAAGGTTAACAATGAAAAAGGAAAAGTTCAGTTCTAAGACACTATAGAGTCATTTGACATACATTTACGATGGATACTTTTGGACTGCGAAGTACACAGTGTAGCTTAACTCTATCCTGAGATCCTGCATCAAAATTGGAGCTCAGTCCTTGCATTTATTAACGATGGGACTGCCCAATTCACAGCAGTACCTTTCGAATCTTTATCTAATCAATACTGTGGAAGATATCGTTTTTTTTATGGCTTGACAATTGTCTTCATAAGGTGTTGATGCAGAAATGCGCAAAATTGCTTTGTAGAGAAACCACAATTGACATAATTTTCTACATTCATTTTATTGAATGGTACTATTGTAATTACGATATTCAGTTGTTTAAACAAATCTATACCATGTATAGTAACTAGAATGTCACTATGTGACATTCATGCAGACCAAAATAATGCAAATGACGTCAACATTTTAAAGGAACCAGTCTTAAAGGTACCAGAGTTACAAAAGAGGGGTATATCTAAATCACAACGGTGGTCTAAAAACTCGTTGTTTTTTTAAATAGGAAATTTTTTATTTTGATAATTTCCACCCACTGTTTCTAGAAAAAAATGTGCAATTAATTATATTAGAAAATAACAATTAACAATAATGAATTTAAAAAGAAATAAACATATTTAAATCATTCAATCTTCATCGGAAAAAGCCTTTAAGAGTATCATTTTAAATCTGATTTTGCCTTTCTTTGGAGATTCAAGAGTTAAGCGAGATTCCAACTAAAAGTTGTTAGTTAATCGTCGAAATATACTAACAATCCACCACCAATTTATATTAAATATAATGTAAACAATAAATATGTAACTTTCCTTAACCTTTCCTTTTCCTTTTATTTCTATTTTTATATATTTTTAGAATTGGGATAAATATTCCCACAACCTCTACTGTTAGAGGTTTTTAAATATTTTATCTTGAAACACTTTTGTTAACACAAATTTGAAATTTAAGGAAGACGATTTTACCGACTCAGATGCCGATGACTATTCTCAAGACGTGTTTATCTATTTCCTCTATGAAGCGCTCACATGTCACCCTCGCTTCTTCGTTCCCTCCTCACCCCTCTACACATCCCAGCCCGGCAGTCAGATTGAAACACTGGAGATGATCACAACTCCGTCTCAGGGAGCAACCCTGGCTCCTTCATAGTGATGATGCAGATACCTAGCTATCAACAGACAATGCTTACATCCAGCTCAATATTGTTCCAAGAGTTCCAAAATTATCATGTGAACATTGAGCCGCATTCCCTCATATTCGAAACTGATAAAACTGCGATCTCTCCCCTGTTCCAAGAGTTCCAAGAGTTCCAAAATTATCAGGCGAACATTGAGACGCATTCCCTCATATTCGAAACTGATAAAACCGCGATCTCTCCCCCTCCTTATCCAAAGCCTGGGGTGAGCGGAAACCTGTTGTTCCAGTTCCTGATGATCTGCACCACCATCATGAAGCTCTACAAATATGTTCCAACTGATGTTCGTCAATAGCTTTCTTTGTTCATTTTTAACCAACCAATTTTACTCCATCTTGTGCAAATATTTCAAAACTTTCGTTTTAAATAAATGTTAGAAATATCCATTTCAGATATCTTTGTTTTATTATAGTGACTTTTAAAGTCAACAACTTTATTTTGTATGTTTATATTATTTTTCATAAATAAATAATTTTTACTTTTTTTCTTTTTTACTTATAATTAACCTTAGTTCTACATACGTTGATACCAACTATCTTTCAAATAATTTCTACTTTAGTTCTACACACATTGATACCAACTATCTTTCAAATATTGTCTACCTTAGTTCTATACACATTGATACCAACTATCTTTCAAATATTATCACTACACACATTAATACCAACCATCTTTTAAATATTATCCACATTAGTTCTTCACACATTGATACCAACTATCTTTCAAATATTATCTAACTTAGTTCTACACACATTGATACCAATTATCTTTCAAATATTGTCTTACTAGTACCCCTCCCCCTCCCCACCCAATTAAAAAAATAAAAGTCTTTGCTTTTATTATCTACTTTGTTTGATGCTGCATGAAAGGATATTTATTAATTATTAATTTGGTTTTCCTATGGTTCACATGGAAAGCTGATTTCGTAAATTATTAACTTACATAAATGCAAAATTTTAAATCCATATCTAAACAAATAGGTTGTGAAATAGTTATGGGCAAAAAGATTGGTTAGTTTTTTCTAGCTCTATCAACGGTTTTGAACTAAACCACAAAAATCTGTAAAGTTTCGAACATTTCCAAACTGTATTCTGTAAAATTATTTTGGCTCATAGGAAATTACCATTATTTTTAGAAATATAAGGAAAACAATAAAAATTGTTGTTTTTGGTTCGTTCAGAATGCCTACGTTTCTCATTTTGAATTTTATGACATTTTTCCTTGACATTTTCGCCATATATATAGCGCTTTTTGGCTTAGGCTTTGTGTTAATTAAAATCAACGGGTTCTTATATTTCCACAAATTGGGTCTTATCATGGTATTTCGAAACAATAACAATAACTAATATCATCCTAGTTGTATTTAAAAATGAAGGGCCATACATGTAAGTCACATTGTATATGAACATATATTTTCTTAGCAAACTATTTCTAATGTTAAAATAAAATATGATAATGGAAATTTCGGCTAGGACGCGCAAATGTTAAAATGGGCCAACTCTGAAAAATAAGAAAGTATTTGCAAATAAATATGAATACTTTTTATTCATTTTATAATTTAAAGATTGTCTGTTGTAAGTTTGATGAAGTCTGAAGCCATAGTAAATAATTAATCGTCTACGCAGATGAAAATGATCTCTAAGGTTTGGCAACAGATGGGAATTAGGTAATTTCTCCCAATGACGTAGATTGAATCAGTAATGTTCCACCGGAAGGCCAGCAGAAGACCACGAGGCCGGGCCGGCGCCATTTTTAAATGTCAGCTGATCGATGGATTCGAGTCCCTGTCCTGTTCGTCCAGCTTACTCCGAACAGATTGTAAAGGTCAGTTGATTGAAAACCTGCAAACATAAATTTAAAGGTATAAAAACAGCAGTTAGTATTTCACACAAATATATGATTGCATTTTATTCTAAACTGCATTTTTGCATTTTTAATGTAGACAGCAAAAAATGCCTAAATTAATTGAATAATTCATGATAGATCCTTTTCTCTTTTTAATTGATGAGCTACTGTTTAAGGATCTTGACAATGGGTTCGTTGCCTCCACTTTTCCTTTGTACTCATGCAGACGTTGGACTCTCAGTTTTATTCAGGTAAATTTTTGTTGAAAGGATTCTGGCTGATTCGCGCATTTACTTTTAAAAACTTAACTTTTTCGCGGATTTTTATATATTTTGTGTCTGAAATTAATGATTAGTACTGGTTATACCTTTGGACGTCTTTCAAACAATTCGTTAATAGTTATCTTAATTAGGTAGCCATTAGTTTTTTTCCCTTACATTTTTCTAACATTATTTTTAATACTTTTGGTAATTTGTTTAAACTTCAGCCATTCGTAACAACACTTTGCCTAGTATAGATCTAAGGGATGAAAATATATATTTTTTTATTATCTGTACCCAATAATTAATAAAATATTTAAATAAAAAAATATGTTAAACAAATTAGGGATTTTTTTTGAAGAACATATTTTGATCTTTTTAGTTGAGAATAAGGTTTTTTGAACTCTGAAAGTTTTTTTTGTGTAGGTGTATTGGAGAGAAGTCTAGGGTTTTCCAGGTCTACCCTAGTTTCTATGAGGTAAAAAATAATTTCTAAAAATGACTGTAAGCGTAATTTCAAGTTATCCTCCATGGCCACTCCAAGCCAAGATGTGCACGCTCTCACGCCGAAGTCGAGCCGTATCTTGCAAATTACTCGAGTCAAACCTAAGATAGAAACAAGTGCATTGCATTTTTTAAATGTTTAGGCCCAGGGCTACAAAAAAGTATAAGTAAGATGGTGAGGTGAAATCAAATGCCAAGGCGTTGCGGCACTTTAATGTCGAGGCTATTTAAAAATGTATGACTAACTTTCAGAGTTGTCAGATTTACAAGTTTACAACGGAACCATTACCTGATCAATATCGCGTAAAATGTTTTTCTAGGTTTAAAAGTGTTTAATTCTGATAATTCCTATGTTTTCCTGCAGTAAAAAATGTGCAAGTCAATTTTGTAGTGAATCCACAATTAAAAATAGTCAGTTTTCAAAATCATATTTGATAACTATAATTCATACCTGATCAGACAAAGCCATTAAACTAGAAGTATTGCGTGCAGACTGCAGAAACTATGGGGTTTCGTTTTTAGGATTGAACTACTTTCCAACTTGAAATGTCAAGGATATATAAGATCAATGTTTCTTGATGAGTAAGGAAATTTAAATGCCAGTTCTATGTTATACAAAATATCATTTAATAATCTAATCGCAGCTTCCCTTTGCTAAATGGAAAGAAAAACTTAGGGTGCATAGTGATACATTTGCGCCTGACGATTATGACAACTTTGCAAAAATGTGAACAAAAAAATGCCGGGCTGAGAATCATTTTCAGGAAATAATAATAAAAAAACAGTGCAAGGACCAAAATAAAGTTTTAACATGGATCGTTTTTTCAGTCTTACTAGTTATTGGTGACCTTTTTATATATATTTTTTCTTAAAATAGCTTTGCAGTTTGCGAAGGTTTAAAAATAGAATATTTATGCAAATATAGTCTGCACACACCCTGAGCTCTAAGGGGGAGGAAAAATCGACCCTAACATGTTTGTTTATGTTTAATCCAGACTGGAGGGTATACCTGGAGTTTATTATGTTCATGTTTAGTCCAGACTACAGGGTATACCTGGAATTTATTATGTTCAAGTTTAGTCCAGACTGGAGGGTATACCTAGAGTTTATTATGTTTATGTTTAGTCCAGACTACAGGGTATACCTGGAGTTTATTATGTTCATGTTTAGTCCAGACTACAGGGTATACCTGGAGTCAAGTTTAGTCCAGACTGGAGGGTATACCTAGAGTTTATTATGTTTATGTTTAGTCCAGACTACAGGGTATACCTGGAGTTTATTATGTTCATGTTTAGTCCAGACTACAGGGTATACCTGGAGCTTATTATGTTTATGTTTAGTCCAGACTACAGGGTATACCTGGAGTTTATTATGTTCATGTTTAGTCCAGACTACAGGGTATACCTGGAGTTTATTATGTTCATGTTTAGTCCAGACTACAGGGTATACTTGGAGTTTATTATGTTCATGTTTAGTCCAGACTACAGGGTATACCTGGGGTAACTGTCTGCTGTGTTGATAAGGATGAATGTTGTTCTAATAATACAAGAAACTCAACAGCCACCAGTTCTAAGTAAGCAACCCGAAAAATTAAAAATACATGTCTATGTAGACTAGCTGGGGATTGTGTTCGCTAACAAACAACATATTCTTACAAGAGCGAACTCTTTCGTTAAGAAAAATCACTGAACGATGAGCAAAAGTCAAAACCTGAACGAAGGATTAAAAAATTCAATTTCTCAATTGTACAGGGTGTCCCAAAAAACATGGGAATTCAGTGACGAATTCGATATCGTCTTTAAGTTATGAACTAGCATTGTAATACCTAATTTCAACAGTCATAATATTATTATGTCTGCTAGAATTTATTTTACGAAAAGGGTAAAAGACTGTAAAGGTGTGTCTTTAATGTCTCCGCATGATGAACAGTGAAGACGGACAAGTTTACTCTGTTTGTATACTTGATTTTTCAACCGTATGCAGTCAAAATATAAACAAACTAAATGTGAACATATCAGACGAAACTTTTATAAAGATTACAGCTTTCTCAGTAGGTATCACTATACTAAATCAAATAATTTTTTGAAAAGACGATATCGAATTCGTCACTGAATTCCCATGTTTATTGGGACACCCTGTACGTTCACAAATTTGATCGTTTATGAACGATCTAAAAATAATTTGTGAACAAATTTTTGTAATTGTTTGAAATGAAAACGCCAAAGATTCCAAATCCACTAAAGTCCGTTAAAAAAATATTATTAATATAAAGATGTTTATCTTTTTTGTCAGGTATTTTTTTGAAGAATAATTTTCAGTACACAGAGTTCTGTGACTTTTTATGGCGTCAGTAATTAATATTTTTTACAAATTCTTTTTGTTTGTTTGGCAATTTATTGGACTTGATCATTTTTTTTAAAGATCAGAAGAGAGGACTTCAGCTTCAAAAACTTCTTGGGATGGATCGATTAATAGGTAAATCTTATAGAATAACCAGGAAACACTGGAATAAAACTTGCTCTAGTCGTCTTCGGTTTCTTTTAAATTAAGATTTTGTAATGCATCTAAGCCAAAGTGATAACCAGCAAACTCTAAAATAAGAAATACTTTAGGGTTTTTGATGTTGTTTCACATTATCACTAACTAAGTGAAATGGCCGTAAGTTCACGCCATGCACAATTGCTGTGTCTTAAGCACATTGGACTAATTAAAGTCATAATTTGCATCTTAAAGTCGCCTTTTCTTTTTTAGAGTTTTTGGTTATGGTTGTATTTTATAATGTTTGCGTCTAAAAAAATTACGTTAATTTAATATCAAAATCCAATGTAAAAATTGGTCCACTTAAAATTTTATAACTGATTTTTTGCTGTTACTTTTGAGAAAAGATTTTTTAAAAGATATTAAAATGATTCCTGACAGTTTCAAAGTTCTTCACAATAAAATCATACAGGTTTACACTCAAAGGATGAGTGTTGAAATACGTCACACTTTAGCACAGGACTTTATTCAGTAAATTTTAACATCGATGTAGAAAAGTTAAAACCTGCAAAAATACAATAAATTACATAGAAAGGATAAAAGAAAATTAATTGAATATGAAAAAGTTTGTTTAAATTGCGTTGATACAACAAATGACAATGAAGGAATTTTCTTATTATTTTATTCTGGTTAAGTGGCATTATTTTTAAAGCTATTCAAAATAGTAAAGAATTTTAAATCAAAAATAATTAACTTATTTACATTAGCCGAAAAAAGCCATAACAGTAGAGGTTTCTGGACATGTAGTCCAGTGTGAATGATGGCTTACATAATTCTGAAATATTGTAGGTTATAACCAAAAACAAATAATTTTAAAGCATGTTTAACTTAACTAAGTAGTTCACTGTTCTGTTTGATAATGAGTGAATGAATGTTCACATGTGGATAGTTCCCACATGTTTAAAATGCCCATACAGTGTATGTTAAGTATACACAGGAAGGCCCAGGTAGTTAAGATTGGAGCAGGACGACCTTTGCTTTAATATTTTAACAATGAGACTTCAAGAGACAATGTAGGAATTTAGACTTTTTCCTTATATTTTTGATTCCCTGAACTTCTTACATGGTTTGGCCTTATCCTTGAATAAATCATAAAAAGATTAAACTCCAGACAGAATCGTCAAATTTAATGAATTTCAGGTCGTCTTTACAGTCTCATTCTTTGTGGTAACTGTCTGTATCTTGTTTTTTAGAAGTATATGGGGCAGCTCCGAGTTTTATAGTTCACCACATTTTTGGACTGCCCTTGTGGTTCTTCTCCTGGTCTGTTTTATGATTTTTCAGAATGCATATTCATACAGAAGGTTGGCATTTTTACTTTCAAAAAGACGACATCAACTCATGTTAAAAAACGACATTTAAGGGGCTGTGTGACTTGTGAATTTATGCTTTGTTATCATGCCACATATTAGATTTTTCGCCTTCGAGCAGTCATGAGCCACATTTTTTCCCCTCCACATATTATATTTTTTGTCTTCCGGCAGTCGATCATGAGTCACAATTATTCAGTCTTCCATTTCACAAAGTTTTCACATTTCAGCAATTAAATTGAATTTTGAAATGGTAGAATGTATTCAAATTACGATTTTCGAAAAACCAACCATGTCACGTGACGTTAATGGCACATTTTTGGCATATTTAAACAAGACTTTAGCATGTATTTTAAAGTGATCCTTCATTTTTCAAATGGTACGTATGTACGATTCTAATTACTATATCTGAGTATAATTAGTGAGAAAATAGATTTAAAAATTGCTATATAAAAATTCTTATTTTACAAAATTTTAAAATCCACCGAAGAAAATAGGATAATCTGCAAATTTGTTTCGTTATTATTTGAAAATGCACAAAAGATTGAGGATACATCATCAATTTATGAAAAGCCAAGATTATTCCAAAAAAGTTATTGTTAAATCATAAGTTATTCATTTACATGGCTAGTATGGAGACATAAATGTTTGTGATATTTTAAATGAATCAAAATGTATTTTTAATGAACTTTAAAAAAATTTGTTTTTAATCTATCAATCTATTTCAGGGCCAGCAGGGTTCTTCCTATATTAGGTAACTGTAACCATGGATAACTTTTTTAATTTATTACTGATCAATCAACTTGATTGTTATTAGTAACCACTTTAAAGGCACGGTTAACCCATAAGCTAGAAAAGATATTTTAAAAAAATGTTTTAGAAATTGTTTAAGCTAATTTTTTTACAATTTCCAGAAAGAGAAACGGAAGGACCATATTTGTCAACAAGGTCAGTTTTTTTAATGAAATTTAACCTTAAAAAGTTTGAAGGGGGGGGGACTTTTTTGTCATATCGTTCTTATTTAATACAAGTTGTTTGATTATTTTATTTTTTTAAAGTGTTTCATAATTAAATAAAACCCATCCTCAATAGACTCTTCCCATGGCCAGTGAGCGGGGAAGGGCAGGCGGCCATGAGCCACCACTATTTCCCCTTCCGTGCCACATATTAGCTTTTTTCTCTTCCGGCAGCCATGAGCCACCACTATTTCCCCTTCCGTACCACCACATTTGACTCTTCCGGGCAAAACTACTTTTTTAAATGGTATATTTAGGGCCTTTAAAGTGTGATTTTGAATAATCCTGCCGCGTCACGCAATAAATATATATTTAGATCTTTATATTTCAGTGTTAATATGTAATAAAGATGATTCCTCGTAATGTAAACTGTAAAACTTTTTTTTTCCAAATCTAAATTCTGATTTGCCTAAAAAATGGCTTATTTTTAAGAGCAATATCAATTTTAAAAATGACGCACCATAAAATACACTTTAGTTTTGAAGGGAACCCTTGTGTGAAAATGTGCAATGTGTTAAGAGAAAATTGCAAAAGAAACTTTTTTTTT